ATGACCCCCACCTTCCCTATTACTGTAGAGAGCAAATACCATCCTCCTAGTCCTTCAGGCTTACAACCTAGCAGATATCCTGGGCTCCTCACTATCTCTCACTCCCCATTTCCAAGCTGTTGCCAAAGCCTGTCCATTTGACCTTTGCAATATCTCTTGAAAAGCCTTCTTCTCTCTTTGGACACGGCCACCACTGCAGTGCAAGTGCTCATCGCCTCATTCCTGGACTATTCAAGGACCTCTTGGTGGGTTTAGAGAGACTCAAATCTCTCCCTGCTCCAACCCATCCTCCACTCAGCTGCCAAAGTGATTTTCCTAAAGCATACATCCTATCAAGTGGCCCTCCTACTCAATAAACCCCAGTTGCTTTCATACTCCAGCATCAAATACAAAATCCTCTGTTTGGCATTCAAAAACCTTCATAACCCAGCCTCGTCTTACCTTTCCAATCTTCTCACACCTTTACTCCCTGACACATACTCTTCATTCCAGTGACACTGGTCTCCTAGCTCTCTCCATTAACAAGACACTCTGTTTTTCAACTCTGGACATTCTCTCTGGCTATCTCCCATGCTCATGATGCTCTCTCCTCCCCTCCAACTACTGACCTCCCTGGCTTCCTTTAAGTCCCAACTAAAATCCCACCTTCTACAGGAAGCCTTCTCCAGTCCCTCTTCATTCTAGTGCCTTCCATCTTAATTGTTTCCTATTTATTCTGTATATAGCTTGCTTGTATATATTTCTTTGCTTTTTGCTTTGTATATGTTTGCTTGTGGTCTCCCCCATTCCACTGTAAGTTCCTTGAGGGCAGGGACTGTCTTATATCTCCTTTGGTACCCCCAGCACTTATCACAGCATCTGCCACACTGTAGACACTTGATAAAGGCTTATAGACCAGCTGACTGAGCTTCACCCAAACTCACCCAGTTTCTAATCAACAGGAGAGTGTGATAACACTTTCCTATTTCTAGCTCCTTTAGAAGAAAACAGGTGTCATTCCTTGACTGGCCATATTCTTCAGTTATTGTATCTCCAATCATCTAAATAATACTGAGGTAAGGCAGTGAGGGTTGGGATGCTTTCAGTGCTAACCTTAGCTACCTCTGGCTTCTCTGTGCCTCAAATTTTCCTGGAGCACAAGCATCTTTGAGTACCCAACGTATGTCAAGCCCTGTGCTGCTAGGTGCTGAGGATACACTTCCTGGGAAACAACACGCCTGCACATTAGTGAATATGTACAATGTAAATACAAGTGTTTTGGGGTTTTGGTGGTGAGAAGTATTAACAGCTGGAGGAAATTAGGAAAGGTCTCAAATAGAAAGAAGTTGGCTCTTGGGCCAAGCTTTAGAGGAAGATATAGAGTCTAAGAGACACAGAGAGGGATGAACCCTGGAGGGATGGTGGGAGAGAAAGGAGGCTGTTGGGGGAGACAGGGAGGGATAAGGAGCAAGGAGGGTCACCTCTGAGACCAAAATGAAAGGAAAGAGGATGGAGGATGATATCAAGAACTTTTGAAATGTAGAGAGAGGAGAAAAGGGAATGGTGTCAAATGGCCTCAATTTTCACAGTATAAAGTAAGAGGCAAAGCTTCTGAGGAGGAAAGAGAAAGGGAAATTCAGAATTACCCCTGTGGGGAATCCAGTCAAGAATTCATTAGAGGAGATTTATCTGGTTTATAGCCAGTTTGTACATAGTCATTTGCATGTTGACTCCTCCTTAAATTGTAAGCTCCTTGAGGGCCTGGATTGTTTTTTACTTTCTTTGTATCCTAGTGTTTAGCACAATACCTAGTAGTCAGAGGTACTTAATAAATGTTGATTGAGTGACATTCTATTAGATTCAAAGTCCAATCTTCTCACCCAAATATCACGAAACCTCCAGGCTAAAAGTGCCCAGTTCCTTCAACGGCTCCTTATATCATGGAATTTCTGGGACCACCACTGAGATCACCTCCATTTTTCCCTGTCTATAGTTTTTTTGTACATAGTTGTTTGTATGTTGTCTCTCCCATTAGATTATAAACTCCTTGAGGTCAGGGACTGTCTTTTACCTCTTTTTGTATCCCCAGTGCTTAGCACAGTGCCTGGCACATAAAAGGTGCATAATATATGTTGGGGTTTTTTTTTTTTTGTTTGTCTTTTAGTGAAGCAATTGGGGTTAGGCGACTTGTCCAGGGTCACACAACTAGTAGTGCACAACAAATGTTGACTGATTGATTTGAAGAGTAAAAAGATTGTCTTGTAGCATCAGGGGGTCCAGGTGGGATCAGAAGACAGTGGCCACAGCCTGGATTTCTCCAGCTCTATCTAGCAACCTCTTATAAGGAGTGGGGGAAGCATGTGCCATGGAGAGGAATCTGGGGTTGGGATCTTGCCAAGGCATTGGAGGACAAAGAGGCAAGTTAATCAAGAGGAGAGGGGAACATCAAGTTGAACTAGTTAACTATAACATCAAGATTACCTTATCTTTAAAGATTTACTTTCCCCAAAGTAAAGACTGAAAGATTAAATCTGTCAAGGTTAATATCCCCCTCCTTTTCCTTTCTCTCTCTCCCCTTCTTGCCTCTTGTAGAATGTCTTCAGGGGCAGGGAATGTGTTACTCATCTTTATATCCCTAGCCTTTACTATGTTACCTTGCTCGTTTCAGGGTTGGGGCAGGGGGTGTCTAGACCTGTGTTTGAGGAAATGAACAGTTGTTGAGGAAACTCCTCCCAATGCAGAATAACAATGGAATCTGCAGCTCAGTTGCCAGGGCACTCTTAGAAGTTAAATGATTGACCCAAGGTCACTTAGCCAATACACGTAAGATGCAAGACTTGAATTCAGGTCACCTTGACTCAGACGCTCTCCATCTACTATGATACCTAACCTCTTGTCTTATTAAACGTCTGTTGTACTGAATTGCCTAAGAAGGAGATTTAAATGTATAATAAATGCACTTGCCTATAGAGATCAGTATATCAGATTTTATATGAGTATGCTCCCAGGAGCATGTCATAATTTTATTAACACGGAAGTTATAACTAGCAACATTTACAGGGAAATAGCAAAAGTGTAAGGGCTTATCTTAAAAAATAGGGGCTACAGCCAAGTAGCAACAATAAAGCAACCTCCATGTAGCTATTTCTGTTGCTACAAGGCTAGAACACAATGGTCTCTGAAGAATTGAAAATAAGTATCACACAAGCACATCAAAAGTATGAACCAGCTGCTCCATAGAAACAATAAGAAATGTCAAAAAAGAAATGGAGTAAAGGAAGTTATTTCACAAGCATATAAACTCAAAGGAGATAGGAGGGGGACAGGGGAACAATTTGCAGGGGGCAATCTACTTGTTCCACTGGCATCTTGTTACATCAAGAGAAAGCAAGAGAGGTCTCCAATGTGGTCCCCCGGGGGATGTAGAAAAATGATGGACAAATGTCAGACCGGACAGGGAGGCAAGTTTGGAGGGGACTTCCAAACTGATGAGAACTCAGACATTGGAATTTGTCTTTGTATTCTCAGACCCTGGCAGATAAATGTTTTTTTAATAAAATTTTTTAATATAAATATTGATTGATTGATTGATTTGGCAGTTGAAGCCTTTCAACGTTGGATTTTACGCTATCACCCTCTTACATACTATACATTCTAACCGGCCTTCTTTCTGCCTCAGATACAATACATCATTTCCTAACTCCTTGCTTTTGAACTGGGCAGTCCCTCATGCCTAGAATGCATTCTCTCACCTACAGAATGCAGAAGTTCGTCGATTCTGAACTGGATGGAGCTTTAGAGACCATCATCTCCAACCCCTTTATTTCACAGAGCAGGAAACTGAGATTCACTTAGTGAAAATAGGAAAATAAGAGTGGTATTTCCAAAATAACTCATTACTATTATTATTCTGCATAATGACCACAAAACAACTGATGGTAAGGATATGAAGAGACACAGAGAGAGAGAGAGGGAGGGAGAGAGAGAGAGGGAGAAAGAGGGAGAGAGAGGAGAGAGGGAGAGGGAGAGGGAAAGAGAGAGGAGAGAGGGAGAGGGAGAGGGAGAGAGAGAGAGAGAGAGAATGTGGTTGATTTTCATTCTGAAACAGGATAACTACAGATGTACCAACTTGTCATGATTCTTGGATAAGCATAGCTTGGGTTTGCACTGCACCCCTCCTAACAAGGAACTCCATAGATGATGACGTCCAGGCTTTGTGCTCACTCATTTATTTGTGATAATCCCATAGTCCCTTGAGGTTTCTGTGAAGCCCTGGGGTTTTCCCTTTTGCAAAGGAAACCTGGAGGTGTGGGGGCAAAGGGTCAGAGTGAGGGAATCCTAGCATGACTGGAATGGAGGAAGCAGCCAGAGCAATATCAGCAAAGGATAGACATGAAAACAGGAGGAAGAAAGCTAGTAAAAAGATTTATACGTGACACAGAAAGTAAGTAGAAGAGGACAACCTGGTATGGGGTACAGAGTTATGGGGCTGAGGCTGGGGAAACCAGGGTCATATCATAGCTCTGCTATTGGTGAGCCATAGTGCATCACTTCTGCACTCTGTGCCTCAGTTTCCCCATCTGTAAAATGAGGGGGTTGCACTAGATGCCTCTGCGGACCCTAGTAGCGCTAGCTCTAGGTCTATGATTTTAGGTCATTTAACCGCCCTGTGCCTCAGCTTCTCCGCCTGTAAAATGACAGCGTTGCATTAGATGTCTCTGAGATCCCCTGCAGCGCTAGATCTAGAACGAGCAAATCGTGCGCGAGGTACAAGCTACGGAATGAGTTCTGCTCTCCCTCCCTGCCCCGCCCCTCTCCTCCTTCCTTCTCCCGCCCTCCCAGGGAAAGCGCCCCGCCCCGTCCGCGCGCTTCCGCCTGCCCACGTGACGTCCCTCCCGCGGCCCCGCCCCTCTCCCGCGCGGTCATGGCGGCGCCCAAAGCTGAGGCGCGCACGTGAGCTAGGACCCCCCGCAGCGCTAGGGGCTCAGTCGCTGCACCCGCCCTCCCGGCCTGCCCGCCCCCCCTTCCCCCAGTGCGGCTCCCGGGCCCGCGGAGCCTCCCGGGCCCCGCAGCCATGAAGCCGAAACCCTTTGCCCACAAGACGGAGAACACGTACCGGGTGAGCGCGGGGCCTTGGCCGGCCGGGGCCGGGGCGGGGGCCAGGGGCGGGAGCCGGGCCAGGCTGGGGGCGCCCCCGGGGCCTCCGTCGGGCTGCGGCCGCGGCTGGGCCCGGGCAGGGGGCGGGGAGAGGCGCAGGGCCTCCGTGTCCTTGCCCTTAAAATGAGGGAGGGTCGCGGGAGCGTCGCCTCTCAGGGTCCCTGCCGGCCCCGGGCTCGGGCCTGCGTGCCCCGGTCCTTGCGCGCGGCGCTTCGGGCTTCCCCCGCCTCAGTTTCCCCCTCCGTAGGGCCGGACTCCCTCCTGGCTAAAGGGGCGGGTCCTTTCCTCCCCTCGGCTCTTTCATTATTTATGCACCGAGCCTGGTGGGAGCTCCTGTCCCGGGGACCTCGTGCCCCTGCCCGCAGGGAGCTTCCCCCTACCGGCCGGACCCTCGGAAGGGGGTGCCTCCTCCAGGCTGCCCAGGGCCGGAACCTTAGCCTGGGACCCCGCTATTCCTAATAGGTGCCTCCCGGAGACAGCCCTGCCTTCCGGGAGCTCCCCATCTAACGGGGGCGGGGGGGGGGTACGTTCTTGCAATCCCCAGCTAGGGTAGTCACGGACCGGAGGAATGGGAGATATTAATAAAGAGGGAAAGCACCGCAAAGGCGGGGATGTTTGTCGTTGAGCATGAAAATAATGACATTTTTGTAGCACTCTGGAGAGGCGGGTGCAGTAATCATTATTGATGAGGGCAGTAGCTAGCAGCTAGCATTTGTATAGCACTTCAAGGTTTGCAAAGTGCTTTACAAATATCTCATTTTACCCACACACAGAGCCTTGGGAGGTGGGATCTCTTATGGTTATTTGATAATAACAGTATTTATGTAGCACTTTAAGGTGTGTAGAGTGCTTTACAGATACCTCATTTTGCCCCCACAGTTTTGGGAGGTAGGTGCTCTTATGATTATTTAACAATAATAGCATCTATATAGAGAAAGTTTGCAAGTGCTTTACAGATATTACCTCATTTTACCTCTACAGTCTTGGGAGGTGGGCGCTCTTATGATTATTTAATAATAATAACATTTATATAGAGAAAGTCTGCAAAGTGCTTTGCAAATATTACCTCATTTTATCCTCACAATTTTTGGAGGTAGGCACTCTTATGGTCATTTAATAATAATAATAGCATTTATATAGCGCTTTAAGGTTTGCAAAATACTTTACAAATATCTCATTTCCCCCCCACAATCTTGGCAAGCAGCTGCACTTGTGATTATTTAATAATAACATTTACGTACAGACGATTTGCAAAGTGCTTTGCAAATATCTCATTTTATCCTCACAGTCTTGGAAAGTAGGAGCCCTTATGGTTATTTAGTAATAATAACATTTGTATAATGTTTGAAAGTTTGCGAAGTGCTTTTAAAAATAAGCTCATTTTACAGCAATCTTGGAATGTAGGTGCTGTCATCATCATCATTATTATTATTGATAGTAATAGCTAGCATTTATGTACTACTTTAAGGTTTACAAAGTGCTTTACAAATATCCCACTTTATCCTCAGTCTTAGGAGGTAGGAACTTTTATGATTATTTTTGATGAGAATAGCTAGTATTCACAAAGTGCTTTAAGGTTTGCAGAACTCTTTACACATATTATCTCATTTTATCCTCACCAAACTGGGGAGGTAGGTGCTGTTATTAACCCCATTTTACAGATGAAGAAACTGAGGTTAAAAGAGGTTAAGGGCCACCCAGCTAGGAAGTGTCCAAAGTGAATTTAAACTTGGGACTTCCTAAGTCCAAGTGGCTTGCTCTGTCCACTGCACCGCAGTGCTTCCTTAAGAGAGAAGATTTTCAGATAAATAAATTTCATGAAACCAAACCCATGCATATAATCCCAGCCCCCCAAACCAGTGTTGTGTGTTTTCCTGATGGTTTGATGTGTCTGTAACCATCGCATATGTTTTCTGTTTTCAGTTTCTTACTTTTGCTGAACGTCTCGGGAACGTTAATATCGATATCATCCATCGGATTGATAGGACTGCCAGTTATGATGAGGTAAAAATGTCATCTGTGACAAATCTTTTCATTATTTGAAGGGCATTTGGAAATGGATTGCTATTGGTGTATATGGAAGAGTTTTCAGGTTGATCGTATTTTGACCAAGTAGAATGAAGGGTGGTTGTTACGATCGATGTTTTATACTGTGTTTCAGAGCTTGCATAGTATTTGACCTACTCAGGTTGTTTCCAACTCTCTGACTTTTTTTTTTTGGTTTGGAAACTTACATGATTTTATCTGTTGTGAGGAATTCCCTGTGTGGAGACACCCTTTGAGGAGGCAGATCTGCTACACTCTTTAACTCTGAGACTTCATTTCCTGAGCCTTTGAAAAATTCAGGGACTTGCCCAGGGTCACACAGCCAGGATGTGCCAGAGGCAATATCTGAACCCAGGACTTTCTGGCCCTCCCTATCCACTATACTAGGCTGAGGAATAATTTCTATGTGGTATAGATCTCCTTTCTAGAGTGGAAGGTTTGAGACAAGGAGGAAAAAACTCCCCAACTTGATCCTATGGTCCGTCCTTTCCTCACACCTCAATTCCCCAGGATCCTACCTAGCTGCTGCCTCTGGTTTCTGTCTTCTGCTCCCCTCTTCTGTCCCTCCTTGGGGAAGCTGTTTGCTCTCTGAGTTTTAATGCCAACCCCCTAGAAACGCCTTCCCCAGCTTGACCCCAGACGGCTGGACTAGAGTTCCGTTCCAAAATAGAATGAACTGGCACAGGAGATAGTAGGTTCTCTCTCACCGGTGGTCTTTTTGAAAAAAATGTCCCTGTTTTGGTTACAAATTCAGCAGTTATCTACAAGTATTAACTTTTTAAATATACAAAGAACAAGAAAAGATATATATGAAACCACGAACTTGTTACCATCAATTTCTTTTTTAAAAAATACATATTCAGCATAGTAGTAACAAAATGCCCTATCATTTTCTGAATTTTTTCGTTTTGTGTTTTAAATGTTTCAATGATAGGATTTTTTTTTTGCATTGTTATAGCAGTCCTTCATTCTCTTTTCCTCCCTTCCTTCCTCCTCCAAAAAAACCTCCTTCCTTGTAACAAGTGCCTGTCTTGTAACAAGAGTAGACAGCGTAAAATATTTCTGAGTCTTAACTAGCACATGTTTTGGGTAGCCCATAAGTCTTACAGGGGCACTCTATTTGATTTCTCCCTCTCTCCATTTCTATAAATCACTGAATCTACAAGGGCTCATTAAGTACCTCCAACGTGCCAGGCACTGTGCTAAGTACTGGGGATAGAAATACAATCAGTGAAATAAGTCCTACTCAGAAGGGGCTTAATTAAGCAGAACAAGTCAGTTCTTCAGCTGTGTCCAAAGACGTGTCTCATATTCTGTATCCCCAGTCCGTCCTATCTACCAAGAGGCAGGAAGTATGATTGCTATCCGCCCTGGGCAGTCTTAATTGGACACAACTTGGTCTTTCAGAGTGATTTTCCTTTGTATCACTGTGGTTGTTGTCTAAATTGTCCTCCTGGTTTTGCTTATATCACTCAGTGTCTGTTTGTGCAAGTCTTCTCAGGTTTCTCTCAACACGTTTACTGGAGGCCTTCAGGCAAAGCCTAGCTGACTACTTGTAGGCAGTGTGGTCGATGGGGCTTGATGACCAGCTGTGAGAATCTGTGTTTCTGTGATATCCTCCCAAAAGTCCTGGGGGGTAGGTACCGCCGGCATTATTGTCCCCGTGTTGTAGAGGATAACCCTGAGTGACTGTCTATCATCCAGCTGGTGTGTGTCAGACCTAGCTTTCCACTCTGCTGGAAGGGACCCAGGGGTTATGTAGTCCCACCCCCCCCCCCATTTTACAGTTGAGGAAGGGAAGTGACTTGACCAGAGTCCTACTTGTAGAAAGGGGTGGAGCCTGGACTCGATCCCATCGAGCCTTTGTCGGCCTCTCCACCTTCCTTTGGCTTTTTTGTCATTTTGATTCTGCCCACTGTGTGGTGTGCCATAAATCTCAGTTGGATGATATCATTGGGAAAATAATCAGAGCCAAAGAGAGGCTTTTGATGCAGGATCATTAAAAGCACCACATAATTTTCTTTAAATTTTTTTTTATTCTGAACATCTAAGAAGATCATTTCCATACACATAGCAGAGCATCATGTGAAATGGTCCATTTAATTCCTTGCATTTAAAAAAAAAATATGTAGTTCAAAATTGTCCTGCTTGTCTGTGCTTTCTTCTGAACTGTGCGTTTAAAAAAATATTTTATTTTCCACCAATTACATGTTAAAACAATTCTTAACATTTTTTTAAAAAAAGAGTTTTGAGTTCCAAATTCTCTCCCTCCTTCCTTCCCTCCCCTCCCCCTCCCTGGGATGGCAAGCAATCTGATACAGGTTATACATGTACAATCGTGTAAAACATTTCCATATTAGTCATTTTGTACAGGAAAACTCAAACAACAACAACAAAAGAATGAAAGAAAGAAGTGAAAAGCAGTATGCTTCAGTCTGTATTTAGACAAAGTCAGTTCTTTCTCTGGAGATGGATGATATGCTTCATCATTATTCCTTTGGGATTATCTTAGATCTTTGTATTGCTGAGAATAGCTAAATCCTTCACAGTTCTTCATCTCACAATGTTGCCATTACTGTGTACAACGTTCTCCTGGTTCTGTTCATTTCAGTTTGCATCAGTTCATGTAAGTCTTTACAATGAACTGTGTATTTTTCAATGTTACGGTGGTCCCCTGTTTTTGACATTACTCTCCTTCCCTCTGAAATGGAAAAAGAGAGAGAGAGAGAGTGTATGTGTGTCTGTGTGTATCTGTGTGTGTGTGTGTGTGTGAAAACCAAACACCGTAACCACAGCATACTCAGGCAAAATGAACCCATGTCCACAGATGTGTATTCTGCCCCTTTTGTCCATCACCTCTCTGCCAAGAAGTGGCTAGCAGGCCTCATCATTGGTCCTCCAGACACATGGTTGGACACGCTTAGGCCTTTCAGAATTTGTCTTTACAATGTTACTGTTGTCCCTGTGCAAATTATTCTCCTGGTTCTGTTCACTTCACTCTGTCAGTTCATACTGTGCATGAATTTCTAAAATCCTTGTCATCGCAACACACATATGTCTGCCACAGTTTATCCAACTATTCTCCAGTCTATTATCCCCTTGGATTCTAGCTCTTTTCTTTGTCGTTAGTCCCCTTTACCTCCCTCCTTTTCCCTCCCTTCAGGATCAGGAGAGTTCTTTAGCTTGTGACTCTTCTCTCTAATTTCCCCTCTCAATCTCCCATCCCTGCTTGTTTCCCCTTTCAGTTTGATGTGTTTCTACACAGGACTGCTTGTCTTTTGATATAGGCCCTCCTGTGTCCTCTTTAGATAAGAGTGAGGTTCATCCAATTGCCTCACCCCACAGCCCCATCTCCAGGTTTGTATATTCTCCTCGTGCATCCCTCTTAGAAGAAATGACAGGTCCTACCTTCTTCCTACATCTTTTACAAACCTTCCTTCATTCCCCATCTTCAGACTCTCAGAACAGCACCGACCCCCTGCCTCCCTCAGGCCCCTTTGCAGGGATTCTCGAGGAGATACTTGTTCTTCCTTGTTAGAATGTTAGCACTATATCATCAGCCAGTTGCTCCTAATTGCTCTCATGAATTTACTCTTATACATTTCTTTCGACCTTTGAGTTTGTATTTCAAAGTTCCTACTGAGCTTTTAATCAGGAATGTTTCTATTAAAGGTCTATTCCTCCCGTCCATTAGATAATATTCTTTCTTGTTTATAAGCTGGTATCTTTTCCTTTTTGGAATGTCATATTCTGAACTCTGTCATTTTTACTAGAAGCTGCTAGGTCCTATGTGATCCTCATTAATTCCATGGTACCTGAACAGCATCCTGTCTCTGGGTGTTTCTGAGATTTTCTTTGACTTGGGAGCTTGGGTTTTGGTAGTGATAATCCTTTGGAGCTTCTTTTCAGGAGGTGATTAGTGATTTCTTTCTATTTTTTCCTTACCTTCTGGTTCTAATAGATCTGGACAATTTTCATTTATGATTTCTTGAAATATAGTGTCTAGTTTTGGTTGTTTTTTGTTTTGCTTTTTGCACATGGCTTTTGGGGAGTTTAATGATTATGTTTTCTTAATCTGTTTTCCAGGTTGATATTAGATATTTTACTTTTTTTTATGATTTTTTTCCGTTTCTTGATTTTATTCTGATATTTCTTGCTCTCAGGGAATTATTGACTTCTATCTGGTCCATTTTAATTTTCAGGGATTCCATTTCTTGGGGAGAGTTTACCACTTTGTCATATAAGCTACTTTTCCTTTTTGCCATTTTTTTCCTTCAGAGCTTTTTTTTTTGCTTTTTGGTGAGGCAGTTGAGGTTAGGTGACTTGCCCAGGATTACACAGCTAGTAAGTGTCAAATATCTGAGGTCAGATTTGAACTCAGGTCCTCCTGACTCCAAAGTTGGAACTCTATCCGCTGTGCCACCTAGCTCCCCCCCCCCAAGAGCTTTTTTTACCTTGTTTTGTCTTGTTTCATTTCTTCTAGTTATTCACGTATTCCTTGTAGAAAATTCATTTTTACCTTTCAGTCTCTGCTGATAGCTGTTACAGAGTTAGATTTACAGTAATTGGTGTTTTCTCTGATTTACTCATCCCTTCAGTTTTAGTTCCTAATTAGGCTTGGTCTTCTCTTGGATCCCTTGGGTTCTTAGTACTGCCTGCCCGTTAGATTGTGAACTGTAGCTGGGGCTATCTTTGGCCCTTTTGTATCCCTGGAGCTTAGCACAGTGTTTAGCACATAGCAGGCACTTAATAAATGTTTATTGACTGACTGACTGATTGATTGGCCTCCATATCCTATGGTTTGGATCCTGTGGATTGTTAAGGTTTGGCATGTCTCAGAACAGAGCATTGGGGACCTCAGAGCCCCTGGCCTGGGCTGTTCTGGTCTGAGGGCTGCCGAGCCCCTTGTGGGCTTGCAAGGTCTTCAGCCTGGGGCTTTCTCAGGGGAGCCCTCTACCCTTGCTGTCTCAGGACCTAAATACTTACAGGCTGCATATGTCCAGTCTGTGGTGGTGCTGGGAGGTTATCCTGCACTGGCTTTGCTGGCTGGGGGGCCTGGCTGACTTTCTGAACAGGTCTGTAGTGACAGAAGTGCCTTACTAGACTTGCTCATTGGATTTTGTGATCATGGTTGGGTGTGGGGCAAATTTTAGTGTATTGGTGTATGGGAGCTGGGCAGCTTGACTTCCCTGGAGGTGGTGGTCATGGTGGGAAGTCCCATAATTGTCTACATCATCTGCATAGGGATGATAGTTAAACCCATGGGAGCTGATGGGGGGGGGGAAGAGAGAGATGGATGAGGACTGAGAGCAAACCATCGGATTTGGCAGTTAAGAAATCATTAGTAACTTTGGATAGAACGGTTTCAGTGGAGGGATGGGTCAGGAATGAATGAGAGGAAGTGTAGGCGATGAGTAGTTTGGCTGAGAAAAGGAAGAAAGAGGATGATCATTTGAGGGGACAGAAGGATCTAGTGAGGGTTTTTCAAGAATGGAACAGCTTTGGGCATATTTGAAAGCAGTAGAGAAAGAACCAGTAGATAGGAAAGAGGTTGACTGGGGAATTTTTATTAAAATTGAATTATACCAACGAAAGTATTATATGGATTAAATTTCAGTACAAAGATAATAGTAACTCATGATACTTAGCTGCTCTAAAGTTTTCCTGAACAGCCAGTTTTGTATTTTTAAAATAAACAAAAAAGGAATTTGCAATTTTGAAAAACTTGCCTAAGGTGTAAATCCCTTTCAATTCATACTTGTTTTATATTTTGTTATATCACTAACTGTCCTTGTGTTTTTTTCCTCTTTCAATAAGTATTTTTAAATTAATTAATTTTTAGTTTTCACCATTCACTTCCATCAGATTTTGAGTTTTAAATTTTCTCCCCTTCCCTCTCCTCCCCTCTTCCCAAGACTGTATGCCATCTGATATAAGCTCTACTTACACATTCATATTAAGCATATTTTCACATTAGTCATGATGTTAAAGAAGAATTAGAACTAATGAGAGGAGCCAGGAGAAACATGCTTGTGTTTTGATCAGAGGGTTTTCCCTTGGCTTGTTAACTAATGCAGTGTGTTGGTTTTATAGGAGGTGGAAACCTACTTTTATGAAGGACTACAGAAATGGAGAGAATTGAACCTCACAGAGCATTTTGGTATGTCCTGTTAAAGTTTACTAATATATTCACCAGTTGTGATATTGGGTGTTTTCTCTGTTAACCAATAGACTTCTGTATTACTATATAATAACGAGAGTCATTTCTTCCCCTCTCCCTCTTTTTAGGAAAATTTTACAAAGAAGTTGTCGGCAAATGTCAGTCGTTCAATCAGCTGGTTTACCATCAGAGTGAGATTGTCCTGAGCTTGAAGACCCACCTGCAGATCAAGCACAGCCTGGCCTACCAGCCGCTTTTGGAGTAAGTCGCAGGCCCTTGGGCGAAGGCCCCGTAGTGTGACTGCCCGTTCGAGAAAGAGGCCGTCCCCCTGGAGCGTGAGGGGACTCCCCTCCCCCTTGGGAAGGCCTGCTTTGTGAAGTAGGCGCTGCCTCTGATGGTGATGGACGGGGACATGGTGACTTAGGACAACGTCCTTCCGCTCAGTTGGCCTTCCTCAGGTCTTCGAGCTGACTGGGGGTTCTGAAAGGCTGTGCCAATGTACTAGTGGGTGCCACAGGCCCTCTGTGATCCTCTGACCTACAAAATCACAGATCCTTGAAGTATGACAGAATTATCAGTGGTTTATGAGTCACAAACAAGAAGGATCTGCACTTTAACATATGCTATTTGAGTGTTAAAATAGATGTCATTTATGTGAAGCATTGACATACTGCAGTGCTGAACATATATATTTATATCATAATTACATTTATTTTATATGCAGTACATTATAACATAGCTCTGTGTGTGTGTGTGTGTGTGTGTGTGTGTGTGTGTGTGTGTGGGAGGAGAGAGAGCTTTAAAAATCCCTCCAACTCCTCCTAGTTTTGTGTGATAAAATTACTGGATTAATAATATTTCTGTTGAGGTTGATAGAAAAAGCAGCCCTTGTCTGATCCATTGTTTAATTATTTCTTTGTGAGGCTCTAATGACAGAAGGAATTTTTTTAATGTCTGATTAAGCACTAATTTGTAAGTGCTTTGATATTTGAAAGACATTTTCACATTCTGTGAACCAACATTGTCTTTCTCTTCCCCCTTCCCCTTTTAACTTTATTTTTCTGGGCCACAAAGGCGGGGGGTGGGGGGGATCAGACCTGCAGTTTTCATGGAAATAAGGAAATGAGGTCAGATTTGCCTCTACCAAGGCAAATCTGTTTATCTCTGTGATTCATAGTCTTAGTTTCTTAGAACCCTGAGAGGTTAGTGACGTGCCAGGGGTCACAGACCCAGGTCTTTCTGACCTTGAGGCCATCCCACATCCCCTCTCGCCCTTCTGCTTATGCTCCAGATACTGGGAGATACTTGGAGTCTTAGTCTTTGGACATCATTAATGCCTTTTGGTTATTTCTCATGCAGCCTGGTTGTTCAGTTGGCTCGGGATCTTCAAACTGACTTCTATCCAAATTTTAAAGATTTTTTCCTGGCCATCACAGCGATTCTAGAGACCCAGGACACTGAGTTGTTGGAGTGGGCTTTTACCTCCCTCTCTTACCTTTACAAATATCTATGGAAACTTATGGTCAAGGACATGCCAAATATATACAGGTAACTTTTTCTTTTGTTTTGTCTGTCCCCAGGCTACCTTTTTAGCTTTATTGCCTCTTACCTCCCTTAATTAACTGTTCAAATCTCCCCTATTCTCCCTTTCAGCACGTAACAGTACATTTTGCTATAAATTTAAAAAAAAAAAAACAAACCCAGCCAATTCTTCTAAATTCTGATGTTGCCCTATAAGCTCTGAGGGTCCTCATCACAACTCTCATGCTCCTGGTCAGATTGAGCTGCTAAACTAGGCTCTTTTCCCCTCCGTGTTCTGAGGGTATTCCCTGAGAGGTTGGGGGTGTCACTTCTCAGTGCTGTTGGCTTGAACCTTCATTCCGCTGTGTTCTCCCCAGCGTTAACTGCCAGTGATTAGCACCCCACTTTGATTTAATCACTAAGAATTAGCTTTTATAAAAGGATATTGATTATATAGATGTACTACAAAGCAAAGATATGTAGTTATACACAGAGATATCGAGATAATTACAAACAGCTTTCTCTTGAACTAGAGAATGGGATCAGGGTCACCCTCAGTCCTTGGGGAAAGGGAGGACACTTAGAGCATTTGCTGTAAGACATTCAGCCCACCAGGTTCACTTCCGGGCCATTGCTGAACGAGTCTCTGTCCTCAGGGGCTGAGGCTGCTGCCTCCCCTGGCACTTTGCCCACATCCCAACGTGGATCCCAGCTCCTGGACTCAGTATTCTGACCTTTCCGAGCTCACAGGGGTCGTAGCTTTCTCCATTAGACCTTCACCTGCAAGCAGGGACAGTAGACCCAACGGACATGGAATCTACAGCAGGCCAACACACACCAAGGGCTTCCAGCACTCCTTGCCTCCTGGACATAGCCAGGGAGGAATTCAAAAAAATTCCTTAACGAAACCTTCATGAGATTCTGTGACATTGATTTTCTGAGTGCTTGGTTTTCTCACTTTTCTCCCATGACTGAACATGTGTATTTCTGGTATCCCCAATATTTGTGTGTGGTTTGTCCTTCGTTGTCAGAGAGGACCATGACATCAGGGAGATAATGACATGACTTGAAGCAAAGTTTGATTTGAGTGAGGGAGGGCTGTGCAAAGTCACCTATGAGATGGATAAAAAAGCCCCCTCGTTGGGAGCCTCTGGGTGTTAGGTGACTGTTGACGCAGTGCCTGGTGTATTGAATAGGCTCCTGGTTATTGAATGTCTCCCACTTCCCTTCCAGTTTATACAGTACACTCCTGGCTCACCACAAACTACATATAAGGAATTTTGCAGCGGAAAGCTTTACATTTTTGATGAGAAAGGTAAGCCCTGTATTTTCTTGAAAGTGTCTATGAAATTGCTTATTCCTAGAGTAGAGTAGCCTTTGCAGAATAGAAGCAGTTTCTGTAACCTGTCCTTACTCTCGATTCAGTTCAACTCCACACAGGCATGGGCAGGCTGCAACACGTCACGTGCAGAAGAGGACTGACTTAGCAGAAACAGCTGCCGTTGACCAGGGGAAAACTTAGACTGGGCAGAGAGCAAGAGCGAGGGGTTGATGGGGCAGCAGTGTTCTCCATTGATCTCTAGGCATGTAAAGAGAACAGGAGGAAGGCCCCAGCCCGCAGGGCAGGTAGAGAGGAGGGCATGGAGGAGAGAAACCACAGGCAGGCATTGTTGGAGAGAATGCCCTCATGGATGAGATCACAGGTACCTGCGGTGTGTACAGGGCACCCACCAGTCTATGGGGATGCAAACACAGATAGCCCCTGTCTGTCAGCATCTTCCAGTCTACCTTTGGTCCTTATGTCTCCTTCCCTCTGCAGTCACCTTGTGTCCTTATCTCTCCGGGTGGGTGTTATGCTCCCTAATGCAGGGGGGAGGTACCTCATTCCCCTTTCTATGTGGGTCCTGGACTCCTCTGGCTGTCACTCTGGGAAAGCCTCTGGATCCCTTCTCGCAATCATGTTTTCAGATACATAAATAAAATGTGTAAGACTACCAAGGAAACCAGTGACTGAAACACAGTTGTCAGAATATTAAATAACAAGGTGATAGACAGCAGGTAGAGAGCTCCTGCCCCAGCAGAACAGGAGCCAGTGCAGCAGAGAGCCTTTTATTCTGTCTTTGAATCCTCAGCCTAGCACATGAACTGGCATGTTATAGATGCTTAGTAAATATTTGTCCCTCAGAATTCAGTTGAATTTCCCATAGGGCTTAGTTCATGTTTCTTATTAATGCAGTAACACCATTTGGGTTTTCTGTTCATGCTTCTCCACGGTTATATTAAGCATTTTTTTCGTGTATTTATGAAAGGCTGCTTTTGATTTAAGTCATATATAGTCCTTTTGATAGCTCACTCGCTGGATAGATGGAGCATTTGTTAGGCATTTACTATGTGCCAGGCTCTGTGCTAAGTGCCAAGAGTACAAATAGAAGCAAAAAGAAAGTGAGTCCCTCCCTTCAGACTTAGATTCTCTTGGGGAAGATGGCACATGCATGGGCGCTGAATAGGGGGAGTGGGAGGAACAGGAAAGCTCTGACATCCAGTTCTGGGCTGGGCCTCGCCAGTGGGCGTGGGTGGTGGGCTGCAGGGGACAGAGCTTCAGCTCCTGGAGAGAAGGGATGGTTTCCTGGACTGTATTTGTATCCTGAGTCCTTAGAACAGCTTGTACCATGTAGTGAACACTTAATCAGTGCTTATTGATTGATTGTGAGATAAGGAGATTTGTAGTGACTGTGACAGGTGATGATAGACATGAGCTCATTTGCTGGTTAGTAATGTTAGTGTTTGTGGTGCTTTGTAATGAAAGAGTAAAATAGTAGGTGTGTTTCTCCTCATTGTAGTTTGTAAACCATATGTAAGGGTGAGTCAGTGTAATTTCTTTTGAGAGGCAGAGTATTACCTTATATGATGAGTTAATGTTTAGGTCACAGATCTTTTGACCAGTGTTTATACAGGGTATGTATACTTAGTTATAGCAGTTTGAGATGATTTTTATTACCTTTAAATGTTTTTTTCCTGCATTAAATATACCTGTAACAGTTTACAAATAAACAGAAAGCAAATAAGATGATTGGTTATACGTTACACATTTTAAAAGCTGTGAATGACATTCTTCTGGGATTTTTCCGTAGGTTTTGGATCAAGACTGCCTGTTTAATTTAATGTTTCTTGACCTTGGCAAACATCCCACAAAAGTGGAAGGTGTTGGACAGTTACTTTTTGAAATGTGCAAAGGAGTCAGAAATATGTTCCATTCCTGTGCATCCAAGGTAAATAAGGGAGGGGAAGGGGTTGGATGGAGGAATGAAAGGAAGTAAAGAATGACTTGGGGGTGGTGGGGGGCAGTGAGAGGAGAGGTGATCTGGGGAGGGAGTTGTGCGTGGTTATTATACCCCCGGCTTCTTGGGTCTGTTCCTGTCGTTCCTGATACCATTCTGGGGTAATCACTTCAATTGCTTGCTCTGGGAATTCTCCCCAGCTTTCACCTTTGGCCTCCCTATCGGTTGGATCCTTTTTTCCTCTTTTTTCTAAAGAAATGTTTGTTTTGGCTCTTTGCCCAAAATCCCAAAGAGCATGCCTTCTGGAATTCCCCCATTCGTTCCCGCAAAGAGATAAAAAGATTTCTGCTTCAGATTTGTTGGCTCCCTACTAGACTTAAGGAAAGGGAACTGAGAAATGATTCTTGATCCAGAAATCAGTTTTGGAAAGAGAGGGGACTAAGGATGTGGTGGCTGGAAGAATCTGAGAAATGGGAAGGAGGAAAAGCAAAGGGTCTAACATGGGTCTTTCCTTGTCCTCCTGAGCCCTGTCTCCAAAGGACTTCTCAGTGTTGCTTTAAGATGTTTGTTGGTTTACTTTGCCTTAGTTGACATTTATGCTACCCCCCACCCCCCACACACACACTTTGGGCTTCATTCTCTTCCAGCCTGACTCCAGAAGACCTATTCTCAGCAGCCGGGGTCCACTATGGTCCACAGGCTTTGCCTAGATCAGAAGAATGTTCGTTGTGTCAGTCCCTGCCCCTATGTGCCCCCCCACCCCCAAAGCTGCTCAGTAGCTTTGCTGTAGACGATAGATCTTTGCTCCATAGTGCAGCCCATCAGATTGAAAGGCAATAGGGAAAAGTTTGACAACATAAATTAAAATACAGTAGAATATAGGTATTGTTAATTTGTGGTTTTCTAAGTCGGTATAGGGCCTGCAGGGATCCATTTCTCTTTGAGTTTGATGCTGCTGGTGTAGGGATAGAAGGTCAGCCTTGGAGTCAGGAGGACCTGATTTTGAATCTTGACTCCATTGCTGGCTGTCATTAGGTCCATCGGTGCCACATGCAATTCCCCAAGACGACAGATTATGGACAGATTGCTGATTTGTGTCAGTGGTGTGAGGAGTTCTGTGTCCACCTTTGAAACCACAGGGCCAGGCTCCATCACAAACTCCCAAAATGCTGCGCGCGGTTAATTGAGGTTAATAAGAGGTTAATTGAGGGAATCTCTTGGAGGTGGTGGGAGAGAGAGCGACCAGATTCTGAGGTGATGTTCTGGCTGAAGAGTTGAGCAGAAACAGTTGTAAGGTGGCATAGGTAGTTTTATGATAAAACCAAAAATTCTTCCCGTGTATTCACCCATGTGTTCACCCATCCATCTATCCATTCATTCACGGAACCAGATGTGTGATTTCATGAATGTTGGGAGCTCCTGATGAGGATGCTTCTTCACTGATGCAGATCAATACCTTCTCTGAAACTCACAGTGTTGGAGGGTTTGGTGGGGTCACCAGGAGGGTCAGTGACTTGCCCAGGGTCACACAGCCAGGGTCTGCCAGAGGTCGGGGTAGGGCTGGAACCCAGGTCTCTCTGACTCCGCAGTTGGCCTTTTCACCACTTCGCCTCTCAGTCTCCTTTTTATGAGCAATTCACATATGACTTTTTGTGTACCTCAGGCGTCTGATTTCTAAAATGTATTTTATCTTCTAAAAACCTGCTTTGTCTGTTCCTCTAAAACTTATTTTGTTCCTCTAAAATCTGTTTATTCTGTTCCTCTAAAAACTGCTTTGTCAGGGCAGCTAGGTGGTGCATTGGATAGAGCACTGGCCCTAGAGTCAGGAGGACTTGAGTTCAGATGTGACCTCAGACACAACACTCACTAGCTGTGTGACCCTGGGCAAGTTACTTAACCCCAGTTGCCTCATGTAAAAAAAAAAAAACCAAACCCACATTGCAAATTCCCTGCATGAGGGTAAATGAGATAAATAATATAAAAACTGCTTTGTCTGTTCCTTAAACATGAACATCAAAGCTGAAACACTTTCAATCATGTTTGGAGTGTGGCTTGAAGCCTTACTTCCAAAAAACCTAAGATCTTGGTAACTGCTGCCATCACTTCCTGGCAAACAGAGGGAGAAGAAATGGAAAAAGACCCTGATGCCGGGAAAGATGGAAGGCAAAAGGAAAAGGGGACGGCAGAGGATGAGATGGAGAGATGAGCTTGGACAACTTCGGGAGACGGTGGAGGATGGGAGAGCCTGGCGTGCTGTGGTCCAGGGTGTCCTGAAGACCCAGACACGACCAATAGCAGCTGTAAGCGGGCAGCTGGTGGCTCAGTGGATGGAGCACTGGGCCTGGAATCAGGAGGACCTGAGTGCAAGTCCAGCCTCAAACTCTCTTTCGCTATGTGATTCTGGGCACAGACAGTTCTGTCTGCTTCAGTTCCCTCATCTGTAAAATGGGCATAATAGCACCTCTCCCAGGATTAAGATGAGATATTTGTGGATGGCTTTACTAGCCTTAAAGTGCTGATGAATGTTACCTATTATAAGCTATCATTACACAAACTTTGGAAACAAGGGCTAAAGTATTAATGTAACCTCCCTCTTGGCTTTCCCCAGGTCATCAAGGTAATTCTAAGGAAGCTCGGCCCAGTTACTGAGACCAAAGCCCAGCTGCCGTGGGACCTGGTGGCCGAAGCTGTCAGGCAGATGGTAAAGTCTTCAGCTGCCTATGTCTACAAGGACCATTTTGGAGTGTTTTGGGAATGTTTGCAGGTAAGTCTTTGGTTTAGAGGAATTCTGTGACGTATCACTATTTGAGGAGACGTAGCATAGGATAGAGAGCTGGCCTTGGACCTGGGTTTGAGTCATGCCACTGACACATTGCTTTTTGACCTTGCACAAGTCATTCATCCCAGACAGCTTGCTATAAGACTATAAATTTCAGGCAGGTGCTGAGGTCAGCATTGGTGGAGGGAATCTCCTCATCAGGAGCTTCCCGTTCAGTGAAATCACAGGGCCAGACAGAAACATGATTCTGCACAACTGATGACTGAGTTATTGTTTCCTTAGATAGTAGCAGTTTTTATCGGTCACGCTGACTCTTGTTAAATAAATCTTATTTTTCTAAAGCCAAACACTTTGCAAACAGGGCTGTTTTGAGGGTGTCTCAATCAATAATCAGCTGATAAACATTTATTAAGTACCTGCTCTGTGCCAAGGCTCGTGCTAAGTGCAGGACTGCAGAGTACCTAAGCAGAGAGCCTGCGGCCAATGGGGAGCTCCCTGCCAGCCCTCGTCCTTCGCTCTTCTTGGCAGGAATCACTCCTGGAGCTCCAGGACAAAATGTTCAAGCCTCGCGGCCCAGGTGGTTCAGACCAAATGGAAAGGCTGCTGCAGCCCTACCTCATCCTCGTGAGACATGCCAGTGGCTCCAAAGTGGCACAGCCCGAAGCAGTGTGTACGGTGAGTCTCCAGCCCTTGTCCCGTCCGTGGATGAGCCATCAGGGGCACCGAGGGTCGGTCTAATCTGTTCTCTGGTCTTACAGATAATATTGCAAACATTCGACATCCCTGGTCTCTCCACATCTTGCCGTAAGACCCTCCTTGAGGTGATTTCTGCATTAGTCTTGGGGGAAAATGTTTCCTTGCCAGAGACCCTCATCCGGAAAGCTGTGGAAAAGGTAATGGGCCAGGGAGTCTGGGCCAGAGCCTGGCAGAGACCTGAGGGGTTTCCCCGGGGGGCTCAATCGCTGACTAGGAGCTGAGGCGCCCCTTGTCTTGCAAATGAGGGACCTGAGGATTTTAACCCAAGTCCTCTGACTCCAGAGTTGGTGCCCTTTGTACCATGGGAGACATTATGAACGACTCACATACCACTTGTATCGCCTAGTATACAGTGTCCCAGATGGGTACCATGGATCCAGCTGCTTTTGTTGGTGGGGAGGGAGATGTGGGTGTGATCTCATCTGTGGGGATGTTCTCTGTTAGTGGAGATGGGCTCTCCTTCTGTAGCTTACAGCCTGAGAGCGCTTCTTGCGGCTCTGAGAGGTCGGGTCACTTGTGCAGGGCCACGACCTAGCAGGTCTCCCTGAGCCCAACAGCGGTGCTGTCCCCACCTTTTGCTTAGACTACGGCTGGCTGGGGTGGAGGGTGGCCCCCAGGGCTGTGGGCTGACCTGATGGCATTGACAGAGGACAGCCAGGCAGTCAGGCCCCCTCTGCTCAGGCTATCTCCTCTCATTTTCTAGAGTTCACAGTAGTGCCCCCTCCCACCTACCCTTTTCTGACTCAGCCTGAATCTTCTCCAGCCCTTCGCTAATGAAGTTGCTTAAGCATAAGCACCTGGGAAGCCAGCTGCGGCAAAATCTGGCCAAAGGAGCAGGACTCTGGCACCTGGTCCCGTCTCGAGGCTCAGAGCCTATGGTTTTGTACGTGGGCCTTTCTCTGGCTCTAGGGGGATATCCAGTAGCATACAACCCAGGTTCCTGACCTGGGGTCTGTGGACAATTTGATTTCAGTACAGTTGGTTTCCTGTGGAATCCCCTGTGTTTTGTTTTATGCATTTAAGCGTGTGATTTTGAGAAGGGTTCGCATAGGCTTCTCCAGACTGCCTGCTGGGGATGGGGGACTAGTGATCCCCTAAGAACTGTTGGCCATAGAGTCCCTTTTGTGGCATCTGCAGATGGCTCTCCTTCATCTGCCATCACAGGTCAGAGACTGAAGGCCAGAAGGGACCTCACAGACCATCTAATTAACCCCCCTCATCTGTTAGATGAGGACCTGGGGCCAGGCTGGAGAAACCACTTTTCAGGGGTCACACAGAGACTTTTTGGCAGGGCTGGGATTTGAACCCTGCATCCTTTGACCAGTTCTTTCCACTCTCCTGTGGGATCTGGTCATCAGTCACCTGGATGAACCAGGCAGAGTGCATGCCACCTCTACTGTTGTCATTCATGGGAGCGTGCCCTGGGCACTTTGGTTCATACCTCTAATTCTCTATTTATGTTCCACAGACTTTTGAAAGTGGATTTGAAAGGCGTTTGATTTTTGATTTCTCCAGAGGGATGTTTGCTATGAAACAGTTTGAACAGGTAAGCCAAGTATAAAGTTTAGAGCAGGTGTTCTTAACCTGGGGTCCATAGACACAGTTTCTGGGGCCCATGAACTTGGATGGAAAAAAAAGACACCTTTATTTTTCACTCATGTTGGGTTTCCTTTGCAAACCTTTTGTGTTTTCATATGCATTTAAATGTTATTTTGAGAAGGAGTGCATAGGCTTCAGTGGACTGAGTGCCTGAGGGGTCCCAGGCACAAACAGGGCGAAGCGCCTCTGCTGTGTGCACCAGGGGTGTTCACGGTGTGTTAGGCTGAATGGTGGCCTCAACTTCCCCCAGCCTGCCTTGTGGATGGCCTCTGCTCAGCCTCTAATTGTGCTCGTGGTTCCCAGGCAGGGCGGGGTCAAGGCATGTGGTGGGAAGAAGAGGGCCTTATTAGGCTGGTTTCTGACAGTCCGGCTGTCCCTGCCCATGTCCATCCTTCTGTCCTTTGCTGTTTACCAGGCCTTCTCTCATTTAGTCAGTCAAACACTGGGCATTTATTAAGGGCCTGCTATATGCTGGGCTCTGTGCCTAATCCATAGCTGAGGCACTAAGTACCTTGCAGAGCAGGTAAAGGTGATTCACCAGCGGACAGTTATTAAAAGCAGGTCTTTTTAGATAGATCCCATGTTCCAGGCACTATCCTAAATGCTAGGAATACGAATACAAGCAGGGCAGCCCTTGCCCTCGGTTACTTCAGTTTTAAAGGGGGAAGCCAGCACATAAAGGGTCCTATAAAGCAGGGAGGGGCTGGGAAGCCTGGGGAAGGCCTGGTTCTGGACTGTCAGAGGCCAGGGTGGTTCCAGGGGCTGTGTCCAGGGTCCCAGTGGGGAAGGCGTAGGAGTGATAGCCTGAGTTTTCTGAATTCCTTTGGGTGTTTAGCTAGCATGGTATGGAAATGGTGATAGGATCATAGTTCAGTCATTGAGAAAGACCTTAGAGGGCCTCTCGGCCAACCCACTCATTTTATGGAGGAGGAAACTGAGGTGCAGAGGGGTATGCCCCAACCATACTGGGGCTAAGGGCAGAGTTGAAACTTGAGCCCCAGTCTAAGTAGATAAATGTCCCTCAGCATTGTCCCCCAGCTGATCCCTTTGGGGGCTTCTCTCTGTTTCTTTTAGCTTTTCCTGCCGACTTTCTTGGAGTATGTTGAGAACTGCTTCTTGGCCGATGACGATGCTGCCAGAGATGAGGCCTTGGCCATCCTGGCGAAGCTCATTCTGAACAAAGCCCCACCGCCCACCGTCGGCTCCATGGCCATCGAAAAGTACCCCCTGACTTTCAAGGCGAGGCCTGTGGGGTGAGTAGCTCTCTGGAGTCTGGACCTCTCTGGGAAAGATGGAAGGGAATGAAAAGATTCTAAGAAGCCACATGACTTTTACATTCAATATCTGGTTATTTGTGCTTCTCTTAAGAGAGTTGATGTTCATTCTTGCTTGGCAGCAGACCTTGGAGCAAGGTGGGGAGGGTATCCAGGAGGCTCATTGTAAGTCCAGAGTAAGAAAAACCTTGTCCACAATTTGGCTGGCCTCAAGTGGAATTGGAGCCCTGTAGGGAGAGCTGTGGATTTGTCCGGCCATTCTGGAGAACATTGAGAATTTGGCCAGAGAAGTCAGAAAACTGTGGGTGCCCTTTGACCCATCAGCCCCATAACTCACGGAGGTCAGAGACAGGAGGAGAGGACCCATCTACATAGAAATATCGAGAACCCTTTCTGTATTAGCAGAAGCAGAATGTGTGTCTCTTTATGCCTTTTGTTTTTATATCATAGTCATTTGGGGGTAACTTCCCCTCCCCCCAGCTGATGCCATCTGACAGTGTCTGCACCTGGCCCCATGCCCACCCCTTCCAGGGAAAGGAGGGGAGATTCCTCCGCCAGGGAGAGGCTGGGTGACTCTTTGTCATAGATGTCCCAGTAGACCTGTAGTTCTTGACCTGTGTTCTTTTTTTTTTTAAATGTGTTGATAACTGTATTTCAGTAGAATTGGCTTTCTTGGCAATCCTGTTCATTTTATCTTATTCATTTTAAAACCATTATTCTGAAAAGGGGTTTGTGAGTTTCATCAGACTGACCACCCACGGGATCCGTGGCACAGAAAGGGTGAGGAGCCCCTGGGCTCCGTGACGATCCCTTGAGGTTCTGCCTAGATTCTCTGATTACCTGAATTCTCTGGGAAGCAAAAGTGGCCCTGAAAGCCCTGAGCTGGTCACCCCCAAACGACGACTTATTATCTGCTTTTGTCATTTATACTAAGATCCACACACACCCTCGCCACACTCCCCTGGTTCCCCCAAGCTGATTTACTTTCCAGTTTCTGCTTTATATTTCTCAGGCAGAGACTGTTGGGACAGTGTGCTGGCCCCAGATTCAACACTTGCTGTGGGTGATTAACTGTGGCCCTTGAAGAATTGCCTCTATTCCTAAATTTCTTATCCCTGGACTATTCAGTGATGTTCAGTTTGACCTTGTGGTTTGGATTTTAAAACAGGCTCGTTTTCCTTGCCTTGTCTCCAAGAAGGGAGAGTGTGACAAGGAAATCATGTACCTTGGCATATTTACTTGGGGACAGAGGCTTTTTTTTTTATTGTAATTACTTTGAGCATAAAGGGATTGGTCATCCATTGTTTCTTCTCTGAGGATTTTTAGTCTTTCAATTAGTCTTGGCTTAAAGACAGCTCATCTTGTGAAGAGATTTAGAAGTTTTCTTTGTCACTTAGAAGACAAGTAGAATATCTTGTCATCAGCTCTTTTTCCCCAGTCAGCATGTTTTCCCCTCATTAATGACATGGTGAGTGGCCCTGCACTCCACCATGCCACACCAGCAATATTATTTATATTATGATTGATTATTTAGAGCAGTGGAAATTGGCACCCTAGCTACAAATTTACTTTTCAAGGTGAAAAGTTTGCCCCCAAACTGGTGATCCCACCAATGAGAAGTTAGGACTGTTGCTGAAATGATCCCTGTGAAGTGTTCAGTAATGGATTTATGCAAATCATAGTTGAATTTGTTGTTTTATTTTTAGAAGTGGCTTCAGCTTAGTTCTACCAACATTTTTTTATTTTATTTTTTTATTTTTTTAGGCAATTGGGGTTAATGACTTGCCCTGGGTCACACAGCTAATGTCAAGTGTTTGGCAGATTTGAACTGAGGTCCTCCTGACTTCAGGGCCAGTGCTCTATCCACTGCGTCACCTAGCTGCCCCTCTACCAACATTTCTTAGGCACCTCTGAGGGTAGAGGGTGTTATGAACCTTGGGTTCAGATTCTGCCTCTGGTCTGTACAAGCCATGGGACCCTGGGCAAAGTCACCTGGCGTCTCGGTGTTCAGAAAGTTCTTTAAAGACCTTGAGTTACAGAAGAATTGCTGATCTTTCATGGATAGAGAAGATTTCCACATCAGAGAAGTCCAGACCAAAATTAAACATTGCACAAGTGCTGTGATGGGTGGTGGGATCCCAAAGACAATGCAGAACCGTCCGTGCTCTACCTTGCATATGTTGGCGCTTTCAGAAAAGCTTTTCAAAGCAGGACACTCTTCAGGATTGATTACTCCATCCCAGTGGGGCTTGTTTTTGAACTTTTCTCCTTTGATTTTAAGAGGAAGCCTCATGAACCCAGCCAATGGCAAATGGCCCCAAATGCAGGAAGCGTCAGTTCTGTATGGCTGGATTGAAGCTTCCCTTCACGTTGGCCTGACTATGATGGGGGTGCCCCTGGGCTTGGAGGAGGCTGGATGTCCTGGGGTGGGGGGGCTCCTCTGTCCCACCAACTCCCCCACCAGTCAGACAGAGATCTCTGAGCCTGGGCGTGGGCCTGGGCCACGCTGCCTCCAGCTGCTGGAAGGCAGCCTTTGCCGTACCTTGAACTCTTATCGAGATCTTATGTTAATAAAAGTTAATGAGTGTTCTTGACTGTCCCTTCAGAAGGCGGTGTGGGAGAGCCTGGGACAGACGGCACAGGACAAGGGGCCACATCGCCTTACTCCTCTTTGACCATGTTTCCTCGTGCATAAAATGGGGCTCATCTTAGCACCTTCTTCCCAGGGTTATTGGGAAGATCAGGTTAAATTAATATTCGAAACATGCTTTGCAAACCATCAAGTGCTACCTCTGCGCTGGTTGTTAGTATTATTATGTCATGGCCATCACATTGGCCTGTCAGGGTGGAACTCTTCATATTTGATTGGTTCTTTTCATTGCATCTTTCTTTTCTGGCCCTGAAGACAGACGCCAAAAAGCAGCCCCAAAGGAACCGATTCTGGCCGTCCTAAATTAGAACTCGTAGGAAGCTGGACTTAGAACCAGGAGTAACCCTGGAGACCTTTAATCCAACCCAGATGGAAAGGAAGCTGAAGGTTAGCAGCTACAGAAGTAGTAAATGGCAGAGCCCAGATTTGAACTCAGATCCCAAACTTCTCTGCGGCCTTTGGTCTTAAGGCAGTATTGGTGCCAGTTCTAGAATCTATCTTTCCTTCTCTTCCTGTTTGTAACAGCAAGATGGGCATAGTACCACCAAACACTAAAATTGATTATCCTGTGCTCTTCTATTTGAGATAAGCAGCCTGTTTTATTTTAAAGATTTTGTTGATGCCTTTTGCTTTTCTGTCATAAGGCATTTCTGGGTATCCCGTCTGATACTGCCCCCACCTCACAAACCTTCTATATTTTAACACAGAAAAACAGTTCAGCAAAACCAGCCAATGTAGTCTGATGGTGTATATAACATTGCAGGGCCATAGTCCCTGATCTCTCTAGTGAAAAGAGGGTGGTACTGGTCCTCATTTCCACACCATGGCTACAGTTCTCTTAATTACATGCTATTCAAGCTAGCCTCTCTTAGACTGGCATGGGAGATGGTCCAGTCTGGCCCAGAGGACGTGAAGCCTCATCTCCTGGAGGGCTGATGGGATGGAGATTTTACTCGGGCTGATTTCTGCATTTTAGTGACAGTGAGGCCCAGGGTGAAGTTCAGAGGACATAAGGCAGATACGGGACAATTTACCTGGTTATTGCGAGAGTGTGAACAGAGGCCACAGGGAAAGGCCATCGATCAGCTGCAGCAGTCAATGTCAGTAACATACAACAGAGTTCAAGGATACATCTGCCCTTTCTATCTGTTCTTAAGGATTTTCTTTTGGTTTTTGGCTTTTGTGATTTTTTTTCCCTGCCTTTTGTTTCTACATCACCCTTAGTCCCCAATATATCTGCCCCTCTGTCCCATAATGAAGAATAAAAGAAAGGGGAAAAAAAGCATCCCTTCAAAACTGAACCGCACATCAGCGGAGTCTGATAGTCTGTGTGATGCCTTGCACCCAGAGTACCCCCTGCAAGGAGGGGAGGGAAGCGTGTGTTCTCATCTCTTCTACAGGGACAAAGTAGATTGTTATTAAGTACACAGCATTTAGTTTAATTCCTTCTACATTGCCATCCTGAGGCTTGAATATTTTCTTCTTCTGTGTCTGCCTACTTCTCTTTGCATCAGTTAGTATAAGTATCCCTCTGCTTTTCTGTATATTTTGTTTTTCCTTCCTATCATTATTGATAAACAGTTTTCTTGGGAATTGTACTTGGTGGGGTGGGGTGTCATTGTTTGGGTATTTACTGAGGAGGGTTTGTGTGAAAAGAGAACAGGTCAGTAAATCTTAGAACGATGCAAAAACAGGTGACCTCCCCCCACTCTCCATGGCCCTGGCACAGAGAGGATACCATTACATTCATTCTTACGTTCATAGCTTTCCTACACTTTTTCAGAAAGTCACTTAAACTCCTGACCTGTGCTTCTCATCTGTGAAAATGAAAGGTTGGACCAGGTGGTATCTGGGGTCTTTCCCAGTCCCAAATCTGTGCCCCTGTGACCTCTCCTAGTGAGTCTAAACAGGGTGTCCCTAAAGTCTTAGTGCCGTGCCAGGTTATTAAAGAACTCTTATTCCCATTTGCAAACCAGGCTGCTTTGACTGGGCAGCAGCTATGTCTGTCCTTGAGTTCTTTGGGCTGAGCCTCTGGGAAAAGAGACCTCAGTTTCTCTTCCTGGGTGCACCACTGAACAGATGGTGCAGTGAGAGGAACATGGGTCCAGATCCCACTTCTGATGCTTTCTTCCTGTGACCGTGGAGAAGCACTTAGCTTTTCTCACCTTGTGAAATGGGGGCTTGGACCAGAGGGTTCCTTGGGTCCCTTCTGGGGGTTGACTTGTCAGAGCAGAGAAAGCACGGGGTCTGTAAACATCACATTGTATTTATTCAATTAAGAGAGGCTGGGAAGGGCTTGGGGAGGGGGCGGGTTGCCGATGTCTTTGGCTGGGCCATGCTGTTCTCCCTTCCGTTTTAAAGGTACGTTCATTCCCTTGGTCTCTTTTCCCACAGACCCCGTACCAGACAGAAGAAAACCAGGACAGGTGGGGAGGTGGAGCAGCGGCCGGTGTTGGGCCACGTCTTATCCCTAATCCAGTTACCACCAAACGCAGGGGCTGTTTCCCTTTGCCGTCCGTGGGCTGCGCTTGTGGTGCTGCCTCACCTCCGGTAAGAGAGGGGCCTTCAATGGGCCTTTGGAAGGCAAAGCGGTGTGGAGGGGTTGCCGATCTGCATCTGAAGAGGGGGTTTCCTCACTGGGAGTTCCCTGCTGTGATGGAATCACAAGTTTCAGTCTTTCCCTTCTCAGGAGAAATTTCATTTGAACCAAAGATTAAATGTGCCGACCTTTACTTCCTTAGGTCAGCAGTCTACAAGCATTTATTAAGCACCTTCTGTGTACCAGGCACTGTGCTGGGGATACAGAGACAAAAATAGACTAGTCCTTGCCCTCAGGGAGCTTACATTCTGTTGATTGAGTGCCATCCAATGAACAGGTTGTTTGAAACTGATGCTGTTTCTTCTCTTGCTCCCCCCCTTACGAGCAGACCGATGGAGAGAGAGAACATAGTGCCTCTGGTCATGAGATTCATAAACTCCTCCTTTGCAGCCATTGATGAAGGAAGTGTTGGTAAAGGTGGGTGGCGTTCCCCTTTTGCTTACGAAATTCCTCTGCTGTGTGCGTCCAAAGCCAATGAGAGCTCAGGGTGCCCCCCGGGGAGCAGTGACCTGAGCTTTTGGCTATGCTGCCTGGGCAGTGGGTCCTGAAGACTTGGGAGAGCAGGGATGCTGTGTGTGTGTGCCTGTGTGAGGGCATTCACTTAATCCCGGATTCCTTAAGCGTCATGTGTGCATATGTGCACCCCCTACTTACACCCCCCTGGAGATTTGAGTAGGCTGGCGGGAATTAGAAGAATTGGGCGCTGTTTCTATTAACTCATAGGAATTTAGAAAAATAAAAGGAAAGCTTTGCCCCAAAGCACCGATTTAAGGCCAGAAGGGACCTATCCCACCTTCCTTCCTAGGAAACCAGCTTCCCAGAGTACTCTAGTTTTGCCAAGCCCACCCTTCCTTTTCCAATAACAGTTACCACGAGAACTCAGAGCACTTGACGTGTGTGGTCTCATTTGCTCCCTACAATGTCCTCCCTGGGAGGTAGGTGCTATTATGAGAGGTCCAGAGATTCACCCAGGGTCCCATAGCTAGGGAGAGTCTGGGGCAGGATTCAAATTCAATTCTCTTACTTCACTCTCAGTGTTCTATCTCCAACTTCAAGCTAAAAAAAGACACCCCCTTTGCTTGGAGAACCCCCCCCCCCAAAAAAAGGACCTGTATCTTTGTAAGATATGCCAGACTTTTTTCCCTCCCCTTCCTTCTTTTGTAGTCTTGGCATTTAGATAGGTTTTCTTCTTTCATTTCAGAACGCAGTTAAATAAGCACCTCCTGTCTGCTAGGCACTGTGCATTTAAAAATTTGGAGTTGTTTTTTTCCTCCGGAGGTTGACATTAGCTTTGAGGGTGAACGGGATGTTTGTTCAATTCACGAGTAAGCCAGTTTTGTTTTCTGCCCCCCCCAGGGGACTTGTTTGTCCTGTGCCAGGCAGTAAATGCACTGCTGAGTTTAGAAGAGTCTTCTGAAATTCTGCAGTTGGTTCCTGTGGAAAGAGTGCAGAACCTCTTGGAGTAAGTAAAATCATCTCTTGGCTCTTTTCTGTGGTTTAACACAAAGAAGGAGCGTTGACGAAGCGACAGGGATTTGTTTGTAAGCAACAAATACGATCTTATTTTATCCTCATTGGACATTGTTATCCTCCCCATTTTATGGATGAGGAAACTGAGGCAGACGGTGATTATTGGATTTGAACTTGGGTTTTCCCAGCTCTAAGTCAGGTTCTGTATGCACAGTGCCATCTGGTAGCCTCTGGGGAAAGGAATTAGAGAAAGGGAAAGCTCTCCTGATGCCCTTAGAAGTTCTCTGGTCCCTGCTTATCTTTAAAAAGGATGCTTTTCTTTCTTTTTTAAAAATTAAGTCTAATTTAATATTTTATTTTTTTCCACAATTATATGTAAAAACAATTTTAACAGTTTTTCAAATTTTGAATTCCAAATTCTTTCTTCTCCCCCTCTCATTGAGAAGGCAAGCAATTTGACATAGGTTGTACACACGTAGTCGTATAAAACACATTTCCATGTGGGTCATGCTGTGAAAGAAAATACAGACAAAAAACCCGAAGGGGAAGCTTTCCCATTGCATCCCTTCTGCACGGGGACTATTTTATGCTTGATCTTTGTAGCCTGGTGCCATGTATATAGTTGGCATTTAATAAGTGCTCCTTGAATCTTATGGTGTCATGCATAGAGCTGTGGGCCTGGAGTCAGGAAGGAAGGCATTGATCTGAATCCCATCTCAGATCTTGCTGGCTCTGTAACCTTGGCCTCAGTTTACTCATCTGTACCATTTCAAGCCCCTTTCAGCTGCCAGTCTACTGTGAATTCCCACTTCCTCCCCCAAATTTATTGTTATGAGCTGGGGGAAGTCAGTGTCCAAGGTTTTTGGATTGTGTTTGGAGAAAGGACCACAAGGCTGTCCATGTTACAGGTGGATTCAGTGGAAGTCGTCTTTGGAAGGGGAACAGCTAGTTCCTCGGGCTCTGCCGTCTTTGGCCTCGGTGTTTCAGGGAACCGTGGCTTTGCCTGCCTGAGCATCCTTTCCAGGCTTGTTTTCCCCCGAGAGTTTGCATGTGTTTGTGATTTATTTCCTTAAGAGCTAAGCACGCCTTCCTCGTACATGAGGTTGTTCTCAGGACAAAAGTCTCTGGTACACATCAGGGGACCCTGGGAGTACAGAAATCAGTGACTAATTACCCAGGATTCCACAACTGGAAAGTATTAGAGGTAGGACCTGAATCGGGGCTTTCCTGATTTGGAGGCCATTCAGTCTGCCACTTGGCCTCTGTGGTTAATGGGTGTACTTTTTTTTTGTAGGCATGTGAATTGTATTCGAGGACATCCCTGTAATATGGCACAATATTTCATGCAACAATTTGTCCCTGTCTAAGAAAAATAACAGTGTGTCAGGATATAGTGTATTAAAGAAAAGGTCTTAAATTAGTATAATTTTTTTTCCTGTACATCTTTCAAATGTTTTTCATAGACTAGCAAGAAATTCAGACATCATTCAGTGGGTCTTTTTTTTTAATTAATTATACTTTATTTTAACATCGATTTTTTAAAAATTTTGAGTTCCAAGTTTTTTCCCTCCAGCCTCTCTCATACCCATTGAGGAAACAAACAGTATGATGTCAATTATACATGTGAAGTCATGTAAACCACATTTCCAAGGTGCCAAAAATTTTTAAAAAGCAAGAAAAATAGTTTAAAAATATGCTTTCATCTGCATTCAGACTCCATCAGTTCTCTCTGTAAGTGGACAGCATTTTTCATCACACATCCTTTGGGATTGGTTTTGGATCATTGTATTGCTAAGAATAGCTAAGTCATTCATGGTTGATCATTGTATAATATTGCTGTCACTGTGTACAGTGTTCTGGTTCTGCTCACTTCACTTTGCATCAGTTCATATGAGTCTTCTCAGGTTTTTCTGAAAGTTTGCTGCTCGTCACTTCTTACAGAACAGTAGTATTCCATCACAATCATACAACACAACTTATTCAGCCATTCCCCAACTGATGGGCATCCTCTCAGTTTTCAGTTCTTTGCCACTACAGAAAGAGCTGCTGTAAATATTTTTGTACACATAGGTCCTTTTCCCTTTTCTTTGATCTCTTTGGGATACAGACCTAGTAGTGGTATGGCTGGGTCAGTTTTATAGTCTTGTGTGTAGTTCCCAATTGTTCACAAGTATGATTGGACCAGTTCCCAACTCCCCCAGCGGTGCATTAGCATCCCCATTTTTTGTGAGTGCACTTTAAGTGAGGCTGTGTGATCTGGCAAAAACAACGTGGAGCAGGGAAGGAAGGATGAGGCCTCGGGTTTGTCCCTCCCTAACCGTGTGATGTGGAGCAAGTCTATAGCTTCTCTAGGTTTTAATTTCCTCAATTCCTCTGAGTGGAATGGAATGGAAGCTCCTGAGGGCAGGGGCCAGTTCCCTCAAATAAGGAGTACATGCTTGTTGAATTGTAGACAGGTAGACCAGGTGACCTTGAAGGTTTCCCTCAGTTCAGCGATACCGGGACTCTGGTTTTAAGTGCAAAGAGAAGCCTTCATCTGATGTCTGAATTTGTGTCTCCATTGTTGTCATCGCTGGTCATCGTCTGCCATTGGGGGCCCCCACAGGGACAGCGTTGTGCCTGATGGAGAAGGTGCTGAATAGCGATGTCGTTTCAGGATGCTCCCGGAGGAGCCTTCTGTCCTGCTGCTGGCCGACCTCTATTATCAGCGACTGTCCTTGTTCGGCTGTAAAGAACCTCTAGCCGAGGAGACTTTAATGAGCTTATTTGTCAGCCTGCAAGCAAATATCTCCACCGGTGTGTCCAAGGTAATTTTATGTTGCTCTGTTTCCTCAGCTGGATTTGTATGGCTTTGTTTATAGAGTGCATTTGGTTCCTTACCCCAGATTAGGAGGTGAGGTGGCCTCATGGAGAGGGTGCTAGGCTTGGAGCCAGGAACACCCGAGAGCAGTCAGCATCTCTCCCATCTGCTCCATGACACCAAGGACCACGTCTCCCTTTTTTGAAGATGATTCCTTAGCCCTCCCCACCTGGTCTGGGGCTTTACAAGCAGGAGCAACTTCATAAATGGTGTTTGCACAAAAAAAATGACCCTGGGAAAGTTATTTATCCTTGGGCTTTGCAATCCTTAAAGTGCTCCATCAGTGCTGTTCTTGTTCTCATTACTGTTACTGTGAAGCAGCTACTCCGGGTGAGGCACTGGGCTGCAAAGACAAAATCAGATGAGGAGCTTAGATTGGGGTGGGGGGCGTCTTCGTGAGTTACAGAGTGCCCCCACGCACCCGGCATCACCTGGTTGCTCCCTGTCGCTGGAAGTCTAAAGTCTGAGGAGCTGGATCCATGGCCTGCCCCTCTGACCTTGACTCCCTTTTTGACCTTGGGCTGGTAACTAGTGTCCCAGAAGGAGGCTTTGCAGGGCCTCGAATGGCAGGCTCACCAGTTCAGGTTTTGTTTGGCAGGCAGGAGGGAGCTTCTGCAGGCTTTGGAGAGGGCAGAGACCATCAGGGTCTGGCCCAGCAGAAACAGAAGCTTTACAAGTTGTAGACGATATTGAGTCAGATGGGGGCCGGGAACAGGCATGTTGAGTGCCCGGAACAAGTGGGAGGGGAGCCCTTTCTTTGTCCGTCTGGCCAGTTTCCCCACGAGTTGGCAAGCACCATGCCTTCCCGGGCTGAGATGGTGGTCCGGTCACCCCACTGCTGCTTTCTCAGCCTGTGCTGTGGGGAGCCGGGTAGGAAGCCCCTCCCCATTGCCCCTCAGGAAGGTCTGTGTCACCCTCTGGTGCCTGGAGGGACGCAGCCCCCAAGTTCCCAGTGCAGATGACCCTGAACAGTTCTTTTTGGGAGGAGGGTTTCCTTCAAAGTACAGCAGAGCCCTCCCCTGCTTTTTTCAAAGAGCCCTTAGCAAAGTTCAAGAAAAATTGAGTGTGGCTGTTTCAGAGTTTTATTTAAATGATCAGTTCATACATTTCCTTTAAAGATCATCCATAGATGACTCTTAGAGGCAGCTAGATGGTTGAGTGGATAGACAGCTGGATTTGGAGTCAAGAAGACCTGTATTCTAGTCCTGCCTCAGATACTTTGTGATAGCTGTGTGACCCTAAGTCACTTCACCTCTGTTTACCTCAGTTTCCTCACCTGTAGAATTATCACTGACTGATAATAATAGCACTGACTTCAAATGAGATGATATGGACAGCACTTTGCTGACTGAAGGGCTCTATTGGTGCTGGTGCTGGTGGTGATGAGTAAACTGAACAGAGAAGGTTGCTGTTTGACCTCCTCTCAGAAAGGAGCAGCGGGGCGCGGCTGAGAGGAGGTGGGATTGGAGTTCTGGCTCCGTCCCTGGCTGCCCGGGCATCATGAGCCGGAGCATTGGGTAGATGGCAAATACACTTAGACTTGCCCAAGGGGGGACCCTCTTAGCAGGTAGAGCCGTCCAGAGGGGAAGGGGCTGCTGCTTCTGAACAGTGGGGTGGGGAGTGGACCCGATGGCCCCCATCTGGGCTGCTGGACCCTCAGCCTCGCAGGCCTGGGGTCTGCCCTCACTGGAGATCTTCAGACAAAGGCTGGAAGAGCTCTCGTTACCTCTGTCGTAGGGAGTTTACCTTTGGGCATGGATTGGATCAGAGGGTCCCTGAGATTCTGTGACTCTAGCCGTGTGACCCTCGGCGGGTCACCTCGCCAGTCTGAGCCTCTGGTGCTTCACCTGCACACTGGGCATGATCACACCTCAGTGACCTCCCCCTCACAGGCTCGTGAAGATAGTTCCTGGTAAACTGTAAAGTGCCGTATCAGTGTGAGCGTCTGTGTCAGAGGGTGCATGGGCCTCAGGTGCAGGATCAGCTGAGCTCCAGGAGGTCTTGGCACAGGAGCACCTTTCTTTGGTGCTGAATGCAAGCAGTAAAGTTCCTATTATTATGTGCCCCTTGGTGCCATCTCTGCCAGGCACTGTGATGAAACAGGCCCCACCCGCTAGAAGCTTTGTGCTGTTTGCCCAAAACTGCTTAAAGTTAGAGCTGACCTTGGTGTTTTTTTCTTTTTCTTCCTTTTGATCAGATTCGCCTTCTGACGATAAGAATCCTAAACCACTTTAAGGTGCAGCTTCCCGAGGCGATGGAGGTATCGTAGCATCTTCACCCGGTGATTTCAGTGGCTCTGGGCTATTATTTTGCTTTTCTTCACTTATCCATAAGAGGGTTGGGTTGCCCCTGTAATGCAGCCCTGGAGTTGGAGTCTGAGGCCCAGGTCTTACCTGTTCAGGTGACCTGTGTGTCCTTGGCAAGTTACTTGTCTGGGTCTGAGTTGCCTTCTCTCTCTGAGATGAAGGTGTGGGTCAGCTCTAAATCCTGTGATGTGAATGGGAATAATGAGGACTAGCCTTTTTTCCTTCTTGTTTGCTTATTTAAATTAAAATGCTTTTGTTTGAAATATGAAGTGCCTTGGGAGATCACAATGTCTATCACTTTTCAAAGAAATTTTTATTGTTACCTCGTATTTTTACATCACCCAGACTTTTCTAATGCTGCTTTTTAACATTTAAAATAAATTTGTTTTTGCTTAGGATGATGGGATAGGGGAACAGCAATCCATCTTTGCCACGTTGCTACAAGCCGAACTTGTCCCAGCAACTGTGAATGATTATCGAGAGAAGCTTCTGCATTTGAGAAAACTGAGACACGACTTGGTCCAGGCGTCCATTCCTACTGGGCCTTTACGTGAGGTAAAGGCAGTGTCTGTGTAGTGTCCGTCCATCCAGCCTGGGAATTGGAGACTGGCTGATCTGGAAATAAAAGTTGTAACTTGCCCTCGTGACCCTGAAACATCTGGAAGCATGTGGAATCCCTGGGGCTTGTCTGCCCACCAGACCTTCCACCCCTCTGTCCTTCACCCTCTTCCTTCCCGCTGCTTGACCTGGGAAATGGGCAGTCAGTTCTTCTACTAAGCTCACTCCTTGTCTAATGATGCTGCCTGTGCAGGGAGCGAGCTCAGCCTCTGCCCACAGAACAGCAGCCCTGGCAAGGTTCCGCCATGCTGGACGGCCTTCCCGATTGGGCTGGCCTGGCCTCTTGTCTGAGGACCAGCCTGCATAGCACAGGGAGCTCATTTGCAGCCTGAGAGTTGGGCTGCAGAAATTCTGCTCCGTTGTGCAGGGATGTACCCGGACCAGCAAAATTAGTCAGGTGTTTGGAAAGATGGGAGTGCTTCTGAAAGTCCCCCTGCTGTGCACTAGCTCTTCTATGGAGCATTGGCTAGTTCAACAAGTATTTTCTTTTAAGTTGACTTTTTATTGATGTCGTTTTTTTTACATTGCCTACATTTCCCACAGTATCTGCTCCCTCCCCTCTTTTGCCTACCAGGGACCTATCCCTTCCAATAAAGAACTAAAAATAGTTTAGTAAAATCAACCAGCACATCCTAAAAGTCTGGCACTGCATGATGTATGGCACCTCTGTGGCCCCCCACCTCTGCCAAGAATCAAGGGGTACCTCCTCAGACACCTTCTCTGCCACAGGGATGGTTCATGATGATTTGGCCACACTCAGTTTAGATTGCTCATTGGTCTTTCTGTTTGCATTATCGTAGCTGGGTTTGTTGGCTTCCTGGTTCTGCGCTTCACTTTGCATCAGTTCACGAGTCTTCCCATGCTTCTTTGTCCTCCTCTCATTCATGGTTTCTTATGGAGGTTCCATTACATTCACACACCTCCACTGGTCTAGCTGACCCCCATAGGTGGGCATCTACCTTGGTTCCAGGTCTTTGCTACCATCACAAGTGCTGCTGTAAATATGCCATTGGCTTTGGGGAGTGTTTTTGAATGCAACACAGTCGCTGGGGTACCGTGGCGGACCTTGGGTTTCCTCAATCTCAGATCCAGTGAGAGGGATACATTGGCTTGCAGCAGGCACCCAGCAAAGACTGTGGGAGTGCCAGGCGATGGCCATGCTTTGGACTGGCACTGTTTTCCATGGTGGTCGGCCTTGTGGCTGTGAGATCAGCTGGCTGGGGATAATGGCTAAGAATGAGCCCCACGCCGTACACAGGCTGGTCCTCGGATAGCAGACGCACCAGGCTGACCATCCCTGGGCCTAGCCTGCGAGGCTTCCCAGTGTGGAAGAGCCTTTGTGTGCCTGGTGTTCTGTGGGCACCCTCTGGGGCCGCTGGGAGGCAGTGGGGAGAGTGCCGTGCCATAAGGCAGATGGGGCTGAGCTAGGGCAGAGGCAGAGACAGAGACCGAAGAGAGAGTCAGTGTTTGAGGACAATCTCTCTGTTTCTCTGAGATGCAGCTCAAGGACCAGCTCAGCCTTTCCCGGGCCCTGATTCTTTGCGTTCTCCCTCTTTCCTTCTCTTATGTTGAACCACCTTTTTTTCACCTTGTGTGTATTCTGCGTGTACTCACATAGGTAAGTTCCTGTCCTCTCTTCCCAGATGCTCCTTGTCTGTGGGGTCACTTCCTTTTTGGGTGTGCTCGTGTTCTGAGTGCTTGGCCATAGACGGGAGACCCTCAGATCCCAGAGGCGGGAGGGGATGACATCTGTGACTGGCAGGGTTCATCTCGGTTCGGCAAACATTTATTAAGCACCTGCTGCCTGCCAGTGGCTCCTGTCCTCGGGAAGCCACCATTCTCCTGGAAGGAGACGAGGGGGAGCCCTGAAACCAGACCAGATGTGAGGACGTGGGTAAAGCAAACACCCGAGAGACTTGGGGTGGAGGCACATGGAACCAGTTAGTCATTCCCTCCTTGTTCGCTTATGTTGGGACCAAGTCAGAGGATTGATGGAGGACTGTAGTCATGCTGCCTGTACATGGCAGCTGTTGTTATTACTTGGGGTACCACAGTCATTCCTTGGGGAGCCAGAAAACTGGCTTACTGGTTTGGGGAAGCCCCGAGTCCCGACTCATGTTGGCGGCATTTTTCCAGGCTCTTCAGTTTCCACGCCTCACACTCTGTTGATCACCCAGAATTTAGACTTTTACGTGTGGGGTGAATCTCCTTATCCAGCATGGTGCAGCCTTTATACCCAAATGTAAGCCATGGATCAGAGCTGATGGGGCCTTTTAATGAAGTTTGTTGTTCAGTCATTTCTCTTGTGTCCAACCCTTCATGGCCACTTTTGGGGTTTTCCTGCCAGAGGTACGGGAGTGGTTTTCCATTTCCTCCTCCAGCTCATTTTACAGATGAGGAAGCTGAGGCAAACAGGGTAAAGTGACTTGCCCAGGGTTACATGTCTGAGGCCAGATTTGAACTCAGGTCTTCTTGATTCCAGGCCTGGCACTCTATCCACTGTGCCACCTAGCTGCCTTCCCCCCTCCTTCTAAAAATTTTAATATTTTATTTTTTCTCAGTTACATTTAAAAACAATTTTTAACCTTTATTTTATAATTTTAAGTTCCAAATTCCTTTCCACCCTCCCTCCCCTACCCCCTCATTGAGAAGGCAAGCAGTTTGATAAAAGTATGTATATGCAGTCATACAAAATGTATTTCCATATTGGTCGTGTTGTGAAAGAAAACAGAAAAAAGAAAAACAGAGTTAAAAATATGCTTCAGTCTGCATTCAGACTCCATCAGTTCTTTCTCTGGAGGTGGTTAGCATTTTTCATCATAAGTCCTTCATACTTGTCTTGATCTTTGTATTTCTGAGAATCTAGCTGCCCCTTTTAATGAAAAGTCCTCATTAATTCTTTTTAAAAATCCCTATATAAGCACGTCTGTTTTCTATCATGTGTCTTTGGATATCTCTCTGTGTCATTATCAATCTCTTTACCTTTGTTTATGGTCTGTCTTTCTGTCTCTCCATCTGTATGTCTGTGTCTTTCTCTCTATCTCATCTTTCTGTCTGTCTCTTCTCCACTGTAGTGGTCAGAGAGCTGGGGTCAAATTCAGGCAGGCTTGGGTTCGAGGCTGCCTCTGCTTACATACTTTATTGTGTCTCTGTGTCCCTGGCGCTGAGCACAGGACCTGGTGCGTAGTGCCAGGTGCTTGTTGAATGCCCGTTGACTAAATTCTCTTGGGCAGTCCCTTCTCTGCATGCCAGGCTGTCAGTTCTGGAAGATTTCGTTGGAGCCCCTGCCAGTCTGCATTTGGGAGGCGCTGCCGACACTGATCAACCCCCAGGTCCCGACCTTTGCCTCCTCCTCCTCCTCTCCTCAAACAGACAGTAGCTGCATTTGGGATTCTGAGCTGTGAGGGAACATTCTGTAGTTGAGCATCTTTATCTCCAAGATGCATCGTAACCCTGAAGTACCTCGTCCTGTGGCTTTTCCTCTTGAAAGAAAAAGTAGCATGTTAGCTTTAAAACTTAGTTTTCTAAACTGTTGGCGGTGAAATTTAGCAGTTTCAAAATTGAATATTCAAGATAAAGAGAAACATGGATATTTAAACATTTAATTCCCATTTTCAAATGTTTTCTGGATTTCTTCTCTGTCCACCTCGGCCAGCATTCAGACTTCCCTTCTGTGTGTCCCTAGGTGCCGCTCCGTTATCTGCTCAGCATGCTGTATATTAACTTCAGCGTCCTCTGGGATCCCATTATTGAACTCATCGCGTAAGTGTGGCATACGTGGGGGAATAATTATCATGAAATGGCTGTGAAAAGAGGGGCAGCCAGAACAGCTCAGTTTCTTGGTGTGCTGGTGTCACTGCTAAAGGAATAAGAACCAGGCTAAGGGGACTTGCAAAGGAAAAGGCAGCCCCATCTAGAAGAGTGACCATTGCCCAGCATTGTGGCATTGGAGGAAGAATTTCGTCCTGGGTTGGAAGCCTTGGGTTCAAGTCACTCTTACACAGTACCTGACACATAGTAGGGGGCTTAATAACTACCCATTCACTGTGGGTCAACTGGGTGGTTGTGAAGGTCATGTGAAAGGAAGAGCTAGCATTGACATAGAAAGCACTTTGCAGGGGCAGCTAGGTGGAGCAGTGGGTAGAGCACTGGCCCTGGAATCAGGAAACCCTGAGTTCAAATCCAACCTCAGACATATAACACTCACTAGCTGTGTGACCCTAGGCAAGTCATTTAACCCCAATTGCCCCAGCCCTTTGCAAATATTCTCTTGTGCCAACAATCCCAGGAGGTGGAGGCTGTTATTATCCACATTTTATAGGTGAGGAAACTGAGGCTGAGAGAGGTTAAGTGACTGAAGGAGAATTTGAACTTGTGTCTTCCTTCAAGCTCAGCCTTCCATCCTCTCGTCTCAGAGGCACAGCAGACTGTAGAGGTCATTTATTCCAGCTCTGATTTGTTTGGAGATGAGAAAGTACTCCAGAGATCTGGAAATCCCAGTGCCAAAGGTTCTCCTCCAGAGTGCTCTGACTCCAGATGCAGTATGGGTTCTGAAAAAGTCCTTTTGTTTTCTGAAGAGTCTCTTTTAAAGGTATTACCTGGTGCAAGGAAAGAATTTTAGCAACAGTCCAAATTAATTTTAAAAACCTCTTTGTGTGGGGGTCCATGTGCAGAAATCGGCCTGTTTGCAAGTGAGTTTGCCCCATTTTGAGAGAAGCGGGATGTCCTGACGACTGACCTCAGAGTGACGAGACGTGGCCCTGAGTCCTCGCTCTGCTTGGTTTGGTGGCTCTGGGCATGTCAGCTAACCTCTGTGAGTCTCAGTGTCCTCATCTGTAAAGTGGGGGTAATAGGAAGCAAACACACAGTCTGCCATGTGCACATACTGTGCTGGGAGAGGGAGAAGGGAATCAGCATTTCTAGAACACCTACTCTGTGCCAGGCCCTGTGCTCAGCGCTATACAGATGTTATCTCAATTAATCCTCACAACAACCCTGGTTGGGAGGTGCTGTTATATCCCCATTTTGGAAACTGAGGCAGGCAGCACCTTGTCCAGGGTCACACAAGCTAGTACATGTGAGAGGCAGGATTTGAACTCGGGTCTGCCAGACTCCTGGCCCAGCGCTATATTCACAGACAAAATGAAGCAGTTCCTGTCCTCAAGGAGCTCACGTTCTAAAGGAAGAGAGGACATGGCCATGTACCAGGCATGTGCCAGATGCATAGATCGGCAGTCACACGGCGATGTGAGGGTGTCTTGGGGGGCTGAGGCTAGTACCAGCAGCCGGGGGGACCAGGAGTGTCATCCTGCAGAAGAAGGTGCTTGACTTCTTAAAGGCTCCCGAGGCGTGGATGGACACGAGACTGCAAGCTCTAGAAAGAGGAGCAGCCATTTGTTGTCCAGTTCCCAAGACTCATTGAAACCAGCCCTAGTTCTGACAACTTCTCCATTAGCACAGTTTGGGGCAGGGTCTCTTCACCCTGTCTCCATCCTTCACCCCCTGCTGAGCTTGTGGACCCCTTCCCACAGTCAGCTTTGTAATTGCAGCAACTAAAATGCATAGATGTGGAAAGGAAACCAGGTACATGGAACTCCGAGTCATGACCAAGGCATGCAAACAGAAAAAAGGCAACAGACCCCGAGTCTAGTGTGTCAGCCGGCCGCCAAACAGTGAGGACCAGACGCTCGTCCTCACCCAGCTCATCCACAAGCCGAACCCAGCACCTGGCAGAGAGGAGGCCCTGAGAAGGTTCTGGTCAGTCAAATACGGTGTGAGCTGCCACGGTCTGAGGGAGAAACTCAGCTCCACTAATGAAGTCATGTACTGAAGTATTCCCTAACATATCCCCATCATTTGCATCTGGGGACGTGAACCTTCACCCAAATTATGGGCTGAGTCATAGCTATTTAAAAGCATTAGGTCTGACTTAAGATAAACATCAAAAAGAAACCTCAGCCTAACAGGAAGCCACTTGGACTGCCTTTCATCAGAACGTAAAGTCCCTTTAAAAAAAATTCTTTCTTGCTACCTTGAATGACCCTGGGCAAGTTGGCCTCAGTTTCCTCCTTTGTGAGATGGGGACAGTAATAGCACCTGTCTTAGCAGGATTGTTAGGAGGATCAAATGAGGCAGCATATAAAGTGCTTGCAAACCTTCACAGCGATATAAATGCACGCTATTGTTATTTTTCTATTCCATTAATTTCTTGTGTCATCCCCTTTCCCTAATTCCCAGAAGGCCTCTGTTCTGTAAAAAAAAGAAAAAGGAATTTAGAGAAAAGGAGTCTGAGAGCAGTAGTATGGGTAGTAGTTCCCAGAGTCCCCCATCTCTGCAGTAAAGGAAAAGAAATTCTCACTATGTAGTGAGTGGTTTCAGGTCTTTATTCTCATAAAGAATATTCTTAAGTAGTTATTTTTTTTTCATATCGACAACTTAAGTAGATTTTGGTGAGATCATTATACCAGGTTTTGCATTTATGTAGTGGTTTAAGGCTTACAGAACTAATAATTTTCAATTTGGCAGAATTTATTTCTCCGCTCTGTTTTATTTTTGCACATACATGTTAAGTGAGCTTTAATTCTTTCCTAAATGGGTGACTGTGAAAAGCAGGGAGATTCTGAGGCAGTTATGGGACCTCACAAGCAGTGAGCTAGCTCACTTTGTGCCTCCAGGTGCCAAGTGTTCTTTTAAGTTATCTGACTTTTGACCTGTTAGTCTAGACTGTTGTTGGAAGGTGGCTTCTTTCCTTTCTTGTATTTGAAGGGCATGCTTCATACGAACAGTCAGTTGTGTAATGGGTCGGGCCTGACTAAGCCTGGGCAGCTGCTACTTTGGGTCCAAAACTGGAACAAAAACATACGATTGCAATCCTCTCAGCCATTAGCACGGGCCAAGGAAAGCTGGTGAGATGCGACTGAATGAACTTCTGAGGGGTGGTCATGCTGCTAGCCTAGCGCCTGACGCCTGTACTGTATCCAGGTCAATGCCCATCTTCAGTCCCAAGAGCCAGTTGAGTTTCAATACCTTTTTAAGGAAGAACTAACCTAGCTTGGCAGTGAGGGGGCTGGTGATTAGGCTCTTACTCCCACTACAGGCCAGAAAGCAATGATTTTTTTTTTTTCTCATATAGATTGTGTGTATTTGAACCTAGGGGAGAAATCCCCACCAAGGTTAAAGCTGTCAGGTTTCCATTTTAAGAGACACCTAACTATTCTTTTCTCCCTCTGGCTTCAGAGTAATTTCACTCTCCTCATTGTCTGTCAGACCTTCTTGTAATTCTGGGAGTCCTTTCCTTGCAATAGGCTCCTAAAACTCTTCTATCGAGCCCTGTCTAACCTTATTGTTCTGTTTCCTAGTTCCCATGCCAATGAAATGGAAAACAAAGCCTTCTGGAAAGTCTACTATGAGCATTTAGAGAGAGCCGCTACACGTGCTGGTAGGTGACATTATTTTGAGTGTTGCTCAAAGCTTTTAGTTTTCGTGTTTGTTTACTCATGAATTTAGGTAGTATTTTGTATTCTCTTTGGCAGTTTTTTGTTCACTTTTTAGGAAATGCTTTCTTTTGCTATTCTAAAAGTTAATTCATGATCACAAAAAAACCCACGTAAGATCTTAGGATCATAGATTTAATGCTGAAAAGGCTTTCAGATGTCACCTAGTCCAGCTGTCTCACTTTGTAAATAAAAAAAAAACAGGGGCAACTAGGTGGCTCAGTGGATAGACCACCAGCTCTGGAGTCAGGAGGACCTGAGGTTCAAATCCCACCTCAGACACTTGACACTTACTAGCTGTGTGACCTTGGGCAAGTCACTTAACCTCATTGCCTAGCCAAAAAAAAAAAAAAGAAAAGAAAAAGAAAAAACAGACTGAGAGGCCTCTCTCTGACATATAGAGATAGTGAGTGTCAGCCCGGATTTGAAGTTGGTTCCTTAGCTCCAAATGCAAGATTCTTTCCACTGTCCTCTGCTTTCACACATCACCTGGCTGCTTCCTCTACTACTAAAACCTTTCAGAATTGTGTTTTCCAAAGTTTTATTGGTGCTTCCCCCTTTTTTTTCCCTACCACAATATTGCATCCTTCCCCAAATAGAACCCTCCTTTGTGACAAAGGAAACACCGAAGCAAAACCAACCAGCACAACTTACTGTGCTTTTAATTGTTTGCAATGCATGCAAGTTCTTCTCACCTCCTAATCTAGAGCAGGGGGCTTTGTTTCATTATCTTTTCTTTGGAACAGGTATTGCTTATGACCCTTATTGTGAGTTCAGCTGCCTCCTTGTGTTTGTTTTTCATTTGTATTATTGTGGTAATTGTGTTTAATGTTCTCCTGAATTTTTGTTTTGTGTCACCTGATTCAAGTCTCCATTGTCTTCCTAAATTCTCTTATTTGTTTCTTACTAAACAATAATATGCAATTGTACTGATATATCACAGCACACAAATGCCAGGCAAAAGAATTTGAATTCTGCTCCAAAGGCAGTAGGGAGCTGATGGAAATTTTGATCAAAGGAGTGAACGTTCCAGGTCTATGTGTGGTAAAGATTATTCTGGCAGCAGTATGAAGGAAAGCCTGGAGAGAGAGCAAGAAGAATAGTTGTGGGAAAACTGGTGACTGTATCACAGGAGGGAAGCTCTGACCTCTCGGGAGGTCAGAGGAGAGCCTGGACTGGGCTGGGGGTCGTGGGGATAGAGAGGAGAGGACGGATATGGGCGATCTTGGGGATGGCTGGGTGGTCATTTTTAAAGCATAGCTTTGTTTGCATTTCATGTTTTTGTATCGCCTGCATTTCCTATTGTATCCCAACTCCATTTCCCCTTATAACAAAGACCAAAACAGAAGGTGGAAAAATTCAAAACTACCTTAAAAGTCTGACATTATATGCAGTGTTCTGCCCCCATAGTCCCCCCCCCCCTTCTTCAATGAAATGCCAGAAAGCACCTTCTCACATTTGTTCTTTGTGGTCAAGTTTGGGCTCTATAATTATGTTACACTTGTTTTCCTTTGGGTTTTTGGGGGTTTTTTTTGGTTTTGGGGGGGTTTTTTTTGCTAGGCAATGAGGTTAAATGATTTGCCAAGGGTCACACAGCTATAAGTGTCAAGTGTCTGAGGTCAGATTTGAACTCAGGTCCTCCTGACTGCAAGGCCTGAGCTCTATCTACTGCGCCACCTAGCTGCCCCCTGTTTTCCTTTGTTTTGAGGTTGTTGTATCCATTTATGTTGTTTGCTCATTGGTTTTTTTTTTGTTTTCCTGGTTCTGCTTTCTTCACTCGTCATGAGCTCATAGACATCTTCCCACAATTCTCTGAATGTATCATATTTATCTTTTCTTACAGTACAGAAATCATTCTTTCCATTCGTGTGCTGTAATTCGTTTAGCTGCTGTTTAACTGATGGAAACCTACTTTGTAAGAAAAGTAAAGTAAAAAAGCAAAAATACTGCTATAAATATTTTGCTGCATATAGGGCCTTTCTTTTTGTTGAGCTGCTGGTGATAGATGCCTAGCAGGGGAATTTCTTGGTCAAAGAGTGTGGCCATTTTTGGTCATCCTCTTAGCACAGTTCTGAATTGCTTTCCAGGGTGGTTGGACGTGTTCACAGCTCCACCCACAATGTACTGGTGTGCTCGTCTTTCCACACAACCTGTCCAACATTTAGCATTCCTATGTTCTGTCATGTTTGCCAGTTTGCAGGGTGTGAGATGTAACCTCAGGGTTGTTCTGATTTACTTTTTGCTTATCGTTAGTGGTTTGGGGCATTTTTTCATGTCGTTGTTAGTAGTTTGTAATTCTTTTGAAAACTTTCTATCCTTTGAGCGTTTACTGTTAGGGAATGGCTTTTGGTCTTCTGTTTGTGTTAAGTTGGGTTTGGCTTAAGAGTTACATGGGAGGTAGCCACAGTGTAGTGGCTAGTCCCATAGTCTGGATTCAGATTCAGCCTCTGACCTGGTTGTATGACCCTGGGTGAGTCACTGCACCTCTCAGTGCCCCAGGCAGCTCTCTGAGATGCTTAAGTTGTTCAACAGTTGCTGATCTGCATTGGTGGAGGGAGTGCGCCATAGGGAATTCCCTCTACCAGTGAAGTTACAGGTCAGGGCCCAAAAAAATAAGGAAATGCTCCTCAAGTACAAGATGGATGTAGCAGCTTAAACTGTCATCTTGTGGTTAAATCCAACCATATGTGCCCTATTCGTGTTTCTTATTTAAGAGGGAAAAGAGATGTCACAGTGTCATCTCTGATTCTTGTTGGCGCCACTGTGCATTTTCTTTTTCTCCCACAGAGAAGGAACTGCAAAATGATTCCAGAGATAAGCATCTCCGAGATAAAGGTGGTGAGAAGACCGATTCAGGAGATGTGGGCGCCCTTTATCATGAACAGCTGGAACAAAGAACCGATTGTCGGGAAAGGCTGGACCACACCAACTTTCGCTTTTTGCTCTGGAAGGCCCTGGCAAAATTCCCGGAGAGGGTTGAGCCCCGGTCCCGGGAACTTTCCCCTCTTTTCCTGAGGTTTATCAGGTAAGTGATTCTCCCTCCTGAGGTCTGTTCCTAGAATTTTCTGTGAATGTTAAGGACTCCCTGGGCAGGGTGGAAAGCTTGGTGATAGCGCTTGAATGTATTGGTTAAGTCTTGTAAACCAGATACTTGGCGCCTGAGGGATCTTGGGCTCTGTCTCCATCCCTGAGCCTCAGTTTCCTCAGCTCTAAATAATGAGGAGATTAGACAAATCCCTTCTGAGCTCCACGGCTCAGCTCATAATGTGTCCTATGACCTTGTCCTCCTGCTTCTGTCTACGGGACTGTTTGAGAATCAGCCCACAAGCTGCGTGAAACTTAAAGTTCTAGATCTTAACACGAGTAACGGTCTATAGAGCCTGATAAATGTGTCCTCTGCTAAGGCCTTGTTGCTTGTGTCTCATCATCTGCCATCTTCTGCCCAAGATGGAAAGAAAGCCTCCTCTGGTGACCCCGGCCGGTCAGAATGTACCCCCAAGGCCCCAGACCTTCTTACTCCCAGGGCAGAGCCCTTCTCCCCACCGCGGTCGAGAGTTTTCCTGCCTTCTTGTTCATTGTTTTATTACTCATCCGCCACTCTTTGGGAGCGTGGCGCCTACAAAAACACAGCCTACTAAATTGTGTCTCTAGCATTGGCTCCAAGAAGTAGTTTGTAGGAGACCATGGCTGTCCTCTACAGCATCATCTTCCAAGTCTCTTCTAAACGGTTCTTGTAGCCAGTGATGAAGCTCAATTTTTCTTGAACCTAATTACCTTTAGGTCTATAGAACTTCACTGGCTACCCCCAAAGTATAGTCTTTGTAAAGTCTGTTTTGTAGGAAGAGGAAAGAGTGTCTTTAAGAGACAGAGAATGTCAGTGCTGGAAGGGACTCCTGAGGTCACCTGGGCCCATCAGTGCCTCTCTGACCTGCCTGGCCTGGCATTTGAACTGCCTTTGGAAGGTGGCGAAGGCGCATTTCACCTTGATCACCATCTTCAGTTTGCAAGTGGAACGACCTTCAGTGTTCTTGTTCTGCCTTCCCTTTCTGCGGCTGGCCAAACTGAGGCCTGGAGGAGTCTGATGACTTGTTGCAGGCCGCAGAGTTAGTGAGTGGCAGAGCCAGGATTCCCACCCAGGTCCTTTGACCCCAAACCCAGGGCTCTTTGCTCTGAGCCACGTCTTCGACAGCCCTCTCGGCTTCATGTCATGGTGAAATCTGCGGCCAAGCAAAGTCAGTGTGATTCTGCCATGTCCAGGGAATCCTGGGGTTGGGTAATTTGCCTCCTGGTACTAATTTAGTCAACGCAACATTTATTAAGTGCCTGCGGTGTGCATGGTACCGTGCTGGGGATACAAATATAAAAATTAAACATTCCCTGCCCTCAGGGGGCTTCCATTTTACTGAAGAGCTTTATAGTCATAAGTAAAGCAGAAGGAGTAGTGAGCGAGACAAGTGCACACAACACTTGGAAGGCTGCATGAAAAATATCACCAACTATAATAACAACCAGCATTTATATAAGTGCTCTGAAGTTTGTAGAGTGCTTTGCAAGTGTTATCTCATTTGATCATCACAACAACTCTGGAAGGGAGGTGCTGGTATTGTCCCTACTCTACAGATGAGGGAACTGGGGTAAACGGGTTCGGTGACTTGCCCAGGATCACACAGCTAGGAAGTGGCTGAGGTTGGATTTGAACTCAGATCTTCCCAACTCCAGGTGTGGCGCTCTGTGTACTGTGGTGCTCCCTAGCTGCCATGAAGCTGGTGGCGTCTGAATCAGTCTCTAGTGTAAGAGCCGTAGTTCACTTGGTTTCCCACACTCTGGGTAGGGAGATCCCCAGTGAGGCGGCTATTAAGACCGCTGGCCTGTACCCCAGAGACAGAGGGGCTCAGTCCCCGACACAAGGCAGGGAGGAGAAGCTGAGGCAGTGGCTGAACATCAGGCCCTTCAGCCCATCAGCTCAGGCTTGAAATCCCCCTGTGTACTTCTCCTGAAGTTTACTGCCCCCATGAAGGCTCCCTCTGGCTGGAGGTCCCCAGCCCAGAGATGTTGAATTCAGAGCCAGGGCAAGAAACCGGGCAGGACTGGGTTAGCTGGCCGTGGGGAGGCATTTGAATCTGATGTGCCAGTACAAACCCTGAGCAGGAAGAGATTATGAAAGGAGCACAGCGCCTCCGAGCTGGACCTCCAAGGTCCTCTAAGCCACGTGGGCCTATGCGAGAGACCCCTGGGGAGTGCCATTCCTCCATGCTTTGGCAGGAAGGTCGCTGACCGCCCCTCCTGAGGCTGCCTGTTCCCACCCCCCTCTCCTAGATAAGCATGTTTTCCCTGTCCTTCCACCCTTTGCTTCCCCATGGGCCCTCTGTAACCAAGAAGATTTCCGGCCAGTCCTTCCTCCAAATGATACGTTTTCCCGTGCCCGGAGCTAGAGTGATCGTATCCCTCCTCCATCTTCTCTGGGCTAAACACCGTGTGTCTGGTTATGTCAGCCAATCTCCTCAAGGCAGGAAGGCCAAGAAGTCAGCTGAGATGTTGGAGAGAAAATCAAGCCTGTTTGGGTACTGGGTGCATCGTTTTGTGTTTAACGTTTTAGAGGGGCAGCCCCTCACACACGAACGTTTCCTCCCGTGTCCCCTGCCCCGTCCCGTGGACTGTCTCAGCTCTGCTGGACCCACCTTGGGATATGTCGTCCTGAGCGGTGGCTGGAAATACCGTCCAGAGCAGTGGACGATTCGAACCCTTTGTGTCTTGTGCTTTCTCCCCCACCCCCAGCAAGGAGTATTACCCAGCCGACCATCAAGTAGCCCCCACCCAGGATCTTCTGAAGAAAGGCAGCGCGGCCCAGGAAGAGGAAAGAGAGGAGGGGGCGCCCATGGAGGGTGACGAGGGAGCCGCGGACGGGGAGGAGCTGGCTGACGACACCCTGTTGCTTGGATCCCGAAAGAAGAAGACCAGGAGAGCCGCAGCCAAGTAAGGTCTTCCTGGGCCCCTCTGCCTAGAGCTGGACAGGACCTCTGGACGAGGCGGCCACACCGGAGGGAGGGGTGCAGATGCACCCAGGCTCTCCGGGGCCCCTGGGCTCATCTCCGGTGTTTCCCCATGAGCTCTCTACAACGGCCGGTTGCTTATAAAGTTACTTCTGAACTATAGGCCATTAGGGACCAAGGTGATGAGAATAGCCTGCATTCATATGGCACTTCTAGGTTTGCAAAGAGCCTTACTTTATTTAGCTCATTGGATGTTCAAAACAATCCTAGAAAGTGGATGCTATTATCATCCCCATTTTATAGATATGGAGACCAAAGTCGAGAAAGGTGAAGAGAACTGTCCCTGGTGACACAGTGATTATGTGGCAGGATTTGAACTCAGGCCTTCTGACTCCAAGTCTAACACCATCCCCTGAACCTCTTAGCTCCCTCTAAGATTAATTCATGGAGGATGTTTAAAGGAAATTATTAATGGTTGTTTAAATAAATGCATTTTTCTTATTTTTTTTCTCAGTTACATGTAAGCAAAAGTTTTTAACATTCCTTCTTTAAAATTCTGAGTTCCAAATTCTCTGTCTCCCTCAATTCCCCGTTCCTGAGAAGGCAAGCAATTTGGTATAGGTTATACATATGCAAAATGTATGTCATGCAAAATATTTCCATATTAGCCATGTTGCAGAAGAAAATGCAGATCGAAAAAACCAAGAATAGTAAGACAGTGCTTCATTCTGCTTTCAGACTCCATCTTTCTTTGAAGGTGGATAGCATTTTTCATCATGAGGCCTCGAGAGTTGTCTTGGATTGTTGCATTGCTGAGAGTAGCTAAGTCATTCCCAGCTAATCATTGTATAGTACTTATATTACTGTATACAATGTCTTCCTGGTTCCGCTGACTTCACTCTGCATCAGTAAAAGTATTTTTAAAACCTTTAAGTACCCATTTACTGATCAATAGATGAACAAAATACATCAAGGTTTTCAAGACTGACAACTATATTTTCACACTCGGGGTGAGATTTGTGCTAGAGAAATTTCCTTTCAAACTAAGGATTTTAATGCGAGGGTGGGAAGGATGATAGGATTTAAAACAGCTTTAGAATTACACCTTACTCAAGGGAAATAAACCTTCCCAGCCCCTGAGTAGGGAAACCGGTTATCTTATTGGACCTTGTGCTTGCCTGGTGAAGGAAGAGTCAGATTCTTCCTCCAAAAGGGGTCTGGTCCCGCCACCCTCATCCCGAGTCATGTACGAGAGAGGAGCCCCCCCGCTTCCTTCTCATCTAGTCAGACAGGAGAGGGCAGACTGGGACGAGCAGGGCAACTGCACAACTAGAGGATTGAATTTGTTCTGTACTTCTAAAGTGTCCAAGCTGTGTGGAATAGAGATTTGGAAATGTTGATGATTCTTGATGTTTTTCAAGTTCATCATACTAAAAAAAAATTTTAAGACCTCTTCTGGACCATGGGTCCCTTCTATAGCATTACCAGTAAGTAGTCACCCTGAAGACCTCTAGCGAAGGGGACTTTCTGCACTGGTCTTTGCTCCCTTCATCTTCCCCCACCGTGTCCTTGGTTCTGTAGTCTGGGGCCAAGCAGGAAGCATGGTGCCCTTCCTCTCTGCCTTTGTATGTGGGGCTCTTAGAGGCTGCTGTCATCTTCTCCCCTGTGTGGGTGGACTGCCCCTGGCTCCTCTGAGGAGCTCTTGGGGCTGTGCTCCAACTGACTGCAGGGCTGGGCCCCATGCGGGGTGTCAGCTCAGAATCCCAGAAGCGCGCCTCGGGTCAGGAGACAGCAGCGCAGGGCTGGCGGCATTTCCTGCCGAAAGAGAACTGCGCAGAGGTACCACAGACCCGCTGCTGTGTGAGCGTTACAGCTGGGATCGGGGTGTTTGGGGTCGCTGTTAAAAAGTCACATTGTTATTCTTACTGTGAGATTTTGAGTAAGTGGTGCTTAATTTTTTTTTTCATTCTTTTTCTTTCTTTTGTTTAGGCAATTAATTGCTCACCTGCAGGTTTTTTCTAAATTTTCAAACCCTCGGTCCTTATATCTGGAATCACAGTTATATGAACTATATCTGCAGGTAAGTAAGATGAGTTAATGGCTTTCATAGGGGTCTAGATTTGAAGCAGAAAGAGAGAGACCTCGGGGTACACTGAGTCCAACCCATCCCTGAGGAAACTGAGGCCCAGAGAACCTAAGTGACTTGCCCAGCTGGTAAGTGCCTGAGGAGGGATTTGAACTGGGGCCTTCCTGACTCCAGGCCCTGTCCCGTGCTGCTTGTCCCCCTTCTCCTCCTCCGTGCACTTCTTTGTGAGCGTTTCACTCCCATTGCCTAAAAGTCGGTGTAGCTGGTGAGCGGAGTCATTAGAAGTGTTGACGCTAGTGCCATGGGTGCTTGACATTAGAACTCAAAAGCAGTGACTTGAAAGGGACTTCTGAGGCCATGTCATTCAGCTTCTTGTCCAGTCTGTGACACCTTGGGTATATGCTCCTCCTCCCGCCATGTAGAAATGGGAGTCAGATATGGAAACAGTGGTAGCAGCTGGCGTCGACAGCGCTTTGAATTTGAGCCCGAGCACCTCCAGAGACAGGGGCCTCTCGCCTCCCAAGGCAGGCACTTCATTCTATTCCCAGATGGCCTGATGGTAGGACGTTCGTCATAGTGAGCTGCGCTCCTGCTTCCTGCTGGCCTGTTACTAATCATTCTCTGGGGACCAAAAAGTAAGCCTGATTGGTCCTTCTTTCGCACACTAGGCCCTTCTGTGATTGAAGAGCTTTTTTGTGTTCATTAAGTTCATTCACTTAGTTCTTTCTTACAGCATCGTAACTTTCCATTACATTCATGGGCCACGAAGTCTGTGTGGCCATTCACTGCTCAAGGAGCGTTGACTTTGTATCCAGCTCTCTGCTACTACAAATCATGCTGCTAGAAATACCTTGATGTACATGGGCCCTTCTTTTTGTCACTGCCAAGATATTTCACAACCCTTTTCTTTGTCCGTCTGTCTTGCTACCTCTTCTTCCGTTTGTGAATTCCCCACATGTGCCTTTTCCGTCCTTATCCAAGTCATTAATAAAAATGTCAAACAGAACAGGGCTGAAGATAGAGCTTGTGTTATACCATTGGACACATCCCCTTTGGTTAGCATTGATCCATTAATCAGTAGTCTTGGCATATGCTTTTTCCATCAGTTAAAACGTCTAGCCTTAATGAGGCAATGCAGTGAATAGAGTACTGGAACTGGAGTCAGGAAGATCTGAGTTCAGATCCTGCCTAAGACACTTATACTAGCTCTGTGCCCCTGGGCAAGTCCCTTAAACCTTTCTCAGACTCAGTTTCTTCCCAGGTTATCATCAGGATCACATAAGATGATATTTGTAAAGTCTCATACAAATGCTATTGTTGTTATAATCTGTCTCACATTGCTTTATTGTATTCCTATGGATGTTTAAAGACCTTGTGGAAGGATTTGCTAAAATCCACATATATTAAGTCTAAGTTTATTAGTCTATTCCTCATGAAAGAAACTACAGTGAGTCTGACGTGATTTGTTCTTAGTGAACCTATCCTGGCTCCTAGGGATCAACACTTTCCTTTCTTAGGGCCCACAAAGCCACCCATGTAATAATCCACCATTGCAGTCATATTATATAACGTATTTTATTCCACCTGAGAGTTTATATTCTGAAGGCATTAATTTGGATAACTAAATGAAACGTAGCTGACTTAAACATTAAATAATTAATTAACATGCATAGCATGGCCCATAGATGGAGAAAGAAAAAGGCAACTTATTTTTTTCTAGTTAGAGATGGTTTTTGGTGGAGGTGAAATTTCTAGAACTGTTTAAAAGGACTTTGATGAATTGAGATGGGAAAGGAATTCCATTGTAGGGTATGATTTTCAAGCCCTTTCAAAAGACATATCGGAAGGTTTATTTCATATTGGATGCCCTTATAAAACCCCAAGGAAATGTGTTTTTCTATGTAGATTCTTAATAGGTTGAACTTTCTGAATATCATTAAATTTACTTAATTCTTGCTTAAAATGGGGAGCATGGACCATATTTTCCAAGTTGGAGTTCTGAATGCCTAATTATCAGCATGACCTTAGAGAAGATGCCATTCTGATCCCTCCCCTTGCCTATCCCTGCAAGGTCAGGGACTTTCTGCACATGCGGTTAGGAGGACGGATCAGAAATGACTTGTAGATGTGGGACAGCAATGTGAATTTTGTGTTTTATTTCAATAACTCTTCCCTTCCTGACTCCTTTTCCCACTCATATTCTTTCTAGCAAATGAAAGTGAGGTAGGAAACAGCTTTGGGGAAAAAAAGGAGAATTTCTGTATTTAGCAGTTGGTATGGGCAAGTGGTATGACTGCTTCAAGCTCCAGGTGATGCTCTGAGGCAGTTATTTATGGATGTTTTTTATGGGGTGGGAGGAGTTCCCCTGAAGATGAAATTAGAGGTCCAGGTTGGGTGGGAGGGGGGAATGTATGTTTTACATAAATGACTTTAGCCTTTTTTGATCATTTTATAAAATTTTATCCCTAGTTATTGTTGCATCCTGAACAAGATGTGCAAAAAATAGCCCTGGAGTGCATCATGACATATAAGCACCCCCATATTCTGCCCTACAAGTAAGTGGGGGCGATGCAGGAGGGTGGCAGTCTGACGTTAACCTTCTGTGTAGGAGAGCTCATTTTTATTTTCAAAATAGGAAAACATTTGTTCATTTCAAATAGAAGGGGAATTTGGCCTCTGAGGTACAGGTAAAAGCTAGAAATACATCTCATTAATAAAAATTCTTTTTTTTTTTTTAAGATTCTCCATGAATAAAAAAGTAGCAAAAAAAACCAGGTTATTATATAGAGAAGTGTGTATCATCACCTTTTCCATGTAAATATTAAAATGAATGCCTGATAAAATAATGTTAAATCTTAGTGAATTAATTTCTAAAAAATCAAATAGGAGTTGGTGTCAAAGTTAGGAAGACTTAGGTTCAAGTTCTGTATCTGATACATAATGATGTATGACCCTCACTGGGTCAATAGCCTTTTGGTGCCCCGGGCAGTGTTTTTAAAAGACATTTTTAAATTGATCTCTTTTTTTTACATCACCTCTCCCCTCTCCTAAGCTCTCTCCTGTAATAAAGATTTTTAAAAGGAGGCTGGAGAGAAACACTTTAGGAAAGCCAGCCAGCACATTGATCAAGTCTGACTGTTCTCCACCTCTGAAGAGAATGGAGGGCAATGTCTTTTTCCAGCTCTTTGGGGCTAACTTTCTTCGTTATAATGACACAGAGTTCCGTTTTGGTGGTTCTTTGTCCTTTCCGTTCTTGTCAGTGTAGTCACTGTGGGGCCGTTTCCCTAGGCCACACCATGCTCGGTGGGGCTATTAGTTTCAGAGCTGCGTTCCTACACTGATGAAATCACAGGTCTAGATGAAAAAAAAATTTAAATATTTGAAGAGAAGAAATCCTCTATACCATTGCTTTATTAAATAGTAGTTGCAGTTTATCTCAGGTTTTTTTTCCCTCTCACAGCAAGCAGATACTGTTTTCATTTAGAGTCTATTCATATGTCTTTATTTATAAACAATTCAATAAGTAGTAATTAAGTAACTTCATTGTACAGGACGTGTTGCTAAGTGCACAAAGGGGACACAAAGACAAAACAGGTTTACTTGCTAGGATTTCCTTGGACAATCATGTCAGAACATAAATAAAGACTGTTGTTGGTTACTAAACACCTTAGTTGCCTCCCCAGAATTCCTACTCTGATGTCTTGTCTTGGTTTAATGTTAAATATTGCTAGTTTTACTCTTGCTTTATGGGAAGGTAAGGCTCATGAGCTGTGGAAATTATGACGGTAAATCACTTAATGCTCTGCTTTGTGTTTGTTATCTACAGGGAGAATCTGCAGAGGCTGTTGGAAGACAAGAGCTTTAAAGAAGAAATTGTCCATTTTAGCATTTCAGAAGAGAATACAATTGTGAAAACAGCTCACAGAGCTGATCTCTTTTCAGTTCTTTTGAGGTATGTTGACCACAAATATAATGGATAGAAAGCAAACCTCAGAGTCAGGGAGACCTGGGTTCAGGTCAAGTCCCTTAACCTCTTGCTGCCTCAGGCCACTCCCTAAGGCTATGTACTGGAAGGCCAAAATGCCCACCTGCCTTGTTAGAGGGACTTTGCTCTCTGGAAGTTCCCCACGCCAGTGAAATTACAGGTCTAATTCCATCCGTTTCCTCTCCCTGACCCCTCAACCAGCAATACTGGTTGACATTTAGTAATACTATCATAGGGCTGTCACTTAGTGACTGCACTGACTTCTGCATAGAAAGACTTCTCTGTGGTCTTCACCTCAGAACCATAGGCTCTTGGGGCTGAAGAGGACGTTAGAGGTCATTGAATCCAGCTCGTGCCTGCCTGTGCCTCCTCTGTACCAGCCTCCAAAGGGCCCATCCAGTTTCTCCTAGAGGAATCAGCAGACATTCATTAAGCAGTTGCTGTGTCCCGTCTTCTGTAACCTGCTGGTACTGTTTTAGGTACAGGTTGCTAGCCCATTTCGAGTCTGTTATGACGCTTGGTAGACCAGTTTGGCCTGAATCCAGTTTGCGCCAGCTGCTTTCTGTTTTTTCTGGGGGCTTTTGTCAGTAGGAAGTTCTTCCCTTGGTCATTTACAGTTTGGGGTTACTGAGTTCAGTTATTCTGGATTCTTTGTCGTGTAGTTGAACAGACACCATTTTGAGTGAGATTTTCTTCCTGAAGTGCCAACACCCATCTCTTTCACCAGTGGGGACAGTCATGGCGGTGGAGCAGAAGGAGAATTGGATTGGGAGAGAGAAGCCAGGCTCAATTCCCACCTTTCGCTGTAGTTGGTTCTGTGGTCTTCAGCAGGTTGTTTCACCTTTACGTGGGCTTCACTCTCCTCCTCTAACATGAAGAGGTTGGGCTAGCAGGAGGCCTTAATCTTTTCTTGCTTCCTGGACCCCTTGGGCAGGCCGATGAAACCCAGGGACCTCAGAATCATATTTATCAGTGCGTTAAATAAAATACACAGGATTCCAGAGAAACCAATTATATTGACATAAAATTATCACAGTACTGCAAACAAGAAGAAGAGGTTGTGGATCCCAGATGAAGACCTGCTGGGCTAGAGGATTCCTAGAGTCCCTTCCGTCTCTGAATCCTGTGACCTAGGAGACCTGCCTCTTTGTCTTCCCACCATTTGCCCTGCTGAGCCCGGGCCCAGAGAAAGGCTCTCCCTTCCTCCACGTGGCAGCCTTTCCAGTACTCAGCTGTCATACATTCGGCCTCCTCACGGCTTTCCTTCCAGCAGGCTTAGCCCCAGCTCAGAGTCTCTTCATGCCACACTCACAATGAGGAACGCTTCCTCTTGCTTCAGTAGGAGAGAATGGCTTTCTTTTTGCCTCCTCTCGTGAAGAAGGTTTCCTTGCCTTCCCGTCATTAAAAGCTTAGATGACTTCCTCATTCACATTCGCTCCAGAAGTCGTGGCGCCAGAGTCTGTGGCACCTTCAGCAGCAGCCCCTGACTCAGTGTCACTCGGTGGGGAGGGAAGAGGAGGAGAGGGAGCTGAAACGGCCTCTGCTTGATCACTCTTACCATCTCTTAAGTGTGCCGTGTCTTTCGTGGTGATTTCTACACTTTCGCCTTAAACCAGAGTCAAATTTGTTACGACATGTCCTCTGAACCATTCACCTTCTTCCCCTTTTAGAGAATCAGGACCACATTTGCCCATCTCTAGTCTCATTAGTACTATATTCATTTACCCATTTACTGTAATTTTTTCAAAGATCCCTGATAGTAGTTCAGCAATTATCGCTGCATGTCCTTGCATTAAGGATGCAGTTAAGCTATGAGCTCTCTTATTGTCAGCTCACTTATTCTGGGTTCCAGTTCCCTCTTAACCATTTTGCTCTGTACTCCTCATACATTCTGAATGTCTCTGTCCTCAGTAGCAGGGGAAGAGTGGAGACAGCTACTCGTTTTCTCTCACATCAGTTTCTCTTCATTGGCCTAAATCTGATAAAGGTGAAGGACAGCCCTCCTTGTGGCTGCTTCTCCCTGAGTCAAAGATGTCATCAGCTGTTCTGTTCAGAGAAGAGATACAACCCTAGCTTTGTCCAGATAATCTGAGTCCTCCATCATTGTTGCATTAAGCCTCTCTGCCCGTTCTGGGATCTTTTCCAGAAGTCATCATCTCTTTCCTCCTTCTGACAGGGAGGTCTGTGGAACGCCCCTCACCCTGCTATTGCTCCTTTTTCTCTCTAGCTTGATCTTCCCCTTCAGGGCTGTGCTGTTCTTCACAGGTACATAGCTTCTTGATACACAGCGCTGCTCCACCCGCTGCCTTTATTGTTTTATTTACCTTTTAAAAAATTCTTTTTGATAATCTGTAGGATTTGTCATGTTCCATCAGTTGCATAAAAGCATATATTTTCTTAAGTTTTACTCTTTGGAAGTCAAGGATAATAGTAACATAATTAATGCGTTTCTGACTGTGATAATATTTAACAGCTTCATCAGTTTTAATTGGAAATAGAGAAATGTAGGCCCAGGGAGAGTGTATAATTTATCAAAAGGTACTTTCTTTAGTATGCCAGATCCCCAGTATCCAGCCTGACAAACGTGACCCTGGACTGAAGTTGGCAAATCTTGGTTTTATTCTGGATTCTACCATTGATTGATTACATTTGGAAAATCACTCAAGTTTTTCAGACTTCAGTTTCCTCGTGTATAAAATGTCAGGCAAGGTTGCTGTAATTTAGACCATGATGACCCAGTACAAGGAATTTCATTACAACAGATTGTGAAGTGGATGGGTGGAGAATTAACCACTTTTACTTTGGATTTTGTAGAATTCTTTACGGACGCATGAAAAACAAGACTGGAAGTAAAACTCAGGGCAAGTCAGCATCGGGGACGCGCATGTCGATTGTCCTGCGGTTCCTGGCGGGGTCATCGCCTGAGGAGGTCCACATGTTCTTAGACCTGCTGTTTGAGCCCGTGAAGCACTTCAGAAATGGTACTGACCCATCGTGGCCGCCTCCCCTCGTTCTGGGGGGCAGGATGGTGCTGACCCATCGTGGCCTCCCTTAATTCTGGGGGACAGGGTGGTATTGACCCATCGTGGCCTCCTCCTCTCCTTCTGGGGGACAGGGTGGTGC